TGTAGACATCCTCGTACATCAGTTTCAGTGAAAGTAGGAACACAGCTATTTTTTAAACCCGTGGATAGAGGGAGCATCACATCAGATGACTGACGTACAAAAGACTTATTTAAGTCACAAACATTCAGCTGGTTATCGATTCTAAACTTTCTGTCACCTGAAAGTTCTTCAAAGAATTTCCACATACTTGGAGAGTTTTTGCAAGATAAGAGCTTTTGAGTAAACATAGAATTGAGACGTCTAATCTCTAGGTTTATCAGACCATTTAGCTTACGAACTTCATTAGAGTTCTTCTCCTTGTACATGCTTTCTTTCATCCTTCGTAGTCGTTTTAGTTGTGAAGATGTAAGTCGATCAAAACTTACAAAAATGGTTTCGGTGGGACAACAAATATCAAAACAGAATTTAAGGTAACAAGTGATAACATCAGTAGTGTTTTCGAGTGAGTCATCTGTAAATAATTCCCAGTTAGTCGTATGAAACATGTTTTTCAGATTTCGGATATTTTCTTCTGTGTAATTCCAATATTTGACTTTTCTGGTTTGACGTAGGAGTGTACTCTTCCCATGCTTTCCATATACTTTAGGTAGAACACGAATTATACAGTGATCTGAGCTAGACAATGGAGCACGTTTACGAGTCGTATATATACCCACATCATTAATGAAGACGAAGTCTAGATGAGCATCCAGAGGGGAAGGAAAATCTACTACATTTTGGTGACCTAGTGACGTAAGGAAGCTACAGTCACATGAATTGAAATCACCACATACAACTGAAAGTGAATCACTGAAGGCAGTAACATCGAACTCAGTGAATTCATCAGCGAAAACAGATAGTGCAGATGATGTGCAATCTGGAGTCACGTAGATATTGGTCACATAAACATATTTGTATTTATTCAGATGTTTTGGACGACATCTTAGAGTTAGACAGTCGATAAAGTCATTTGAAAACTTAAAATACACAAACGAAGATCGACACCAGTTTATGTTTACAAACGTAGCTACACCGCCACCACACCTCTTTTTATTGTTCGATCGATCCTGACGATATATTTTAAAATCACGTAGTGATACAAGGCAGTCATCCTGTAAATCATTTAACCAAGATTCTTGAACTGTGATGACACCACAATTACGATACGTATTTTGACTAAGTAAAAATTGCAGATAGTCCACTTTGTTGATTAATGATCGGCAGTTAGAATTTAGCAGCTCTGGAATCGACATACGATTAATGTTCATTCTCTTTAACGCATATTGCCAACCACCACGATGCCTTTTATAGTACTTTTTCGTAACTTGTGCAGCGGAAGGTCGTAGGCTTTTCATAAAAGCGCCTGAATAGGTTATGCGATTAATGGACATAATTATAAATTAAAACAAATGAAAAACAGATAACTTGTTGAAATAATCAGATGGCAGAAACAGGTAGCCCAGATATTCAAGCAGGCCGCCAGTTAAAGAAAATTAAAAAAACGCAGATTGTTTACTTTCATTTTGCCCATAACATCATAAAGGACAGTCAGGAACGAACATGCGAACAGTAAGAGTCACAGACGGCAACAACAATTATTTTAGCTAAATAAAAACGAACTTCGGCTTTGGATATCTAGAAAACAAGGTAAAACATAACCGATTGACGTTTAAAAACGTAAGGTCTTATGTTAGTACTAGCCAGCTTAGCTGAATAAATACAGTGACTTCAGTAGCAGCAGGTAAAACCCAGAAAACAAAGCAAAATCAGGAAAAAATTTGCTCCAACGTTCAGAGCATTACATTAACTTCTGGATTTTAGCACACTGAAACATCAAATTCTGTAGCTACACAAAAGAAATAGCGGAAAAAACACAGAACGAAGAAAGCCGGACGACATTTTATAACACAAGACTAGCCGGATTGCCCGAAGAAATACATTGACTTGAGTAGAAGCAGCAAAAACCCAGAAAACATCGCTGATTCGAAATAAACTTCACACCAACATATAGAACATTACACTAACTGCGGCATTTTAGCACACTGAGACATTAGATTACGTAGCTTCACAAAAGAAATAGCTGAAAGAAGCACAGAACGAAGAAAGCCGACCGCCATTGCTTACAAAGATGGCGGATGTAATAATTCCCGCCTCATTCTGATTGGTTGCTAAGTCGAAGGGCACATTTACAAAAATTGAGTTGCGTTTACTTGGGCACACTATGCGTGTTAGTTTACGGGTTTTCGCGCACATGTAACATATTGTCGTGGATTTTATGTTTCGTTATTTATCAGCTATTAACAGCCTTTTTTCGTTGTATCGTAAAGCTGTTTCATATTTCCTTCTCTAGCAGCTTTTTCCGCCGTCATTGCTAATTCTTCCACGTATTTCTTCCTGTCGGCTCTAATGCTCCTCTTCACTTGCTTGTTTGCTTCTATGTATTCAGCTTGTGCTTGGACTTTCTCTGCTCGTGTTCGGCTGTTGTTAATTGCTATCTTCTTGTTCTTCCTTTCTTTGATCTTGTCCAGTGTTTCTATAGAGACCCATTCCTTATGCTGGTGCTTCTTGAGGCCCAGAACCTCTTGATACGTTGAGGTTAATGCTTTTTTGATACCTTCCCAGTTGTCCTCCATAGTAGTTTCTTCTTTCTTCAGTAGATCTTGTAGGGCTTGGAACCCGTTGTTGAAAGCTATCTTGACTTCGTTGAATTTGTTAGTATCTCGAAGGAAGGCTGTATTGAACCTTTGTAGTGATGTTTGTCCAATTGTCCAGTTCTTTTTTAGTTTCAGTTTTAAATTGGCTACAATCAGGTGATGATCTGAAGCTATGTCAGCTCCTCTGCTGGTTCTCACATCTTCCATTGTCCTTCAGCATTTTTTATTGATGCAAATATGATCTATCTGGTTCTCTGTGGTGTGGTTTGGTGAGATCCATGTAACTTTATGTATACGTTTGTGTGGAAATATTGTGCCACGTATGACCAATTTGTTGAATGCACATAGATTTACAAATCTTTCCCCATTTTCGTTTCTCTCTCCCAGTCAATCCATGTCGTCCCATGATATCTTCATATCCGGTGTTGTGTATTCCGACTCTGGCGTTTAGACCTCCCATCAGAATGGTGAGGTCCCTTCTTAAGCACTTCTCTATGGTTGATTGCAGCCGCTCGTAGAATTGATCTTTAATGTCGTCGTCGCCATGATTGGTGGGTGCATAACATTGGATAATATTCATTGTGATCCCCTCCTTCTTTCTTTTGAATGATGCTTTGATGATTCTGGATCCGTGGGATTCCCATCCTACAAGTGCATTTCGTGCTACTTTGGACAGCATCAGAGCAACTCCCTGAGTGTGTGGAGCATTTTTCTTTTCGTGACCGAAGTATAGCAGCATCTCTTCCGTATCTAGTCTTTGTTGTCCAGCTTGGGTCCAATGGGTTTCGCTGATTCTCAGTACTGCCAAGTTGTATCTCCTCATTTCCGTTGCTATTTGACTGGTCTTTCCGGTTTCCCACATTGTTCGAACGTTCCATGTACCTGTAAAACGTTTTGCTCTGGTTGTTAGAAGAGGCATCGGCCTCGTGGCTTCCGAAGGAACTCGGCTTTCACCATGAGGGGTCATAGTTCTTCTCTATGGAGACCTTTTAACTCCCAGAGCAGAGTTTAAATGGTTTGTATTATTTTTTCTAGCTGGCGTATTTTAGCGAGTTAGTTTTCTACGGGATGGGGACGCTAACCCCATGCCCGACCCTCCTTCTTTACCCGGGCTTGGGACCGGCAGTAACTCTGGAAGAGCTACAGGCGGAGCTAGCTTGGTCCATTGGGTCTCAGTTATTCGGAGAATCGTCAAGTTGTAACTCTTCATTTCCGTAATTGTTTGACTGGTCTTTCTGTCTCTCACATTGCTCGAACATTCCACTCACTTATAATAATTGTTGCTCTGGTTGTTAGAAAGAGCATCTGCCTCGTGACTTCCGAAGGATCTTGGCTTTCACCACGAGGCGTCATAATTCTTATAAATGGAGATCCTTCAAATCGGAGGGCAGAGTTTAAATTGTCCGAATCGTTTCTTCGGGTTATTATTTTTTCACAAGTTTGGTTTCTACGGGATGGAGTTGCTGGCCCCATGTCTAACCCACCCTCTTTATCTGAGCTCGGGACAGGCATTAACCTTTGTAGAGCTGCAGGCGGAGTTATCGCATGTCTTATAATGCTACATTTAAAGTACAATCGAGATAACCGTGAGGTCTGAAAACAAAGTCTCTGTGCGTTAAAATCGTCATGCTAAGCCTTTTTTCTTAAAATCACAGACCCCAAGCTCAATAAGCCAGTATTATTTTACGATATATATGACAACTCATTTCAAATGGCATATTAACTACCAATTTCATATTTTCGTAAGTTGAATCAACGTGATTCAATGAATACTATCATTACAATCTTTATATTTTTTTCTTATGTACTTAATTTATTGAGCGCTAACCTCACTTCACTGTCTCTTGTTTTCATCCTGCCCATAAGTGCATTATATAATTTATGATTAGATAGTTTATCCGACTATTTTTCTTACTTTTATGTTACTGAAATGCATTGGCACATTTTTATTTGGCCTACAAACTGAATAAAGTATATATTACTTACTAGTTTTCTTTAACATTTACATGCACAAACAAATACATTTTACCACAAATCTTTCATTCATAACTAAAATACTAAGTTATATGCTTTGACCATGTCTATTCCTTTCTATTTCTAGTTTATAATTATCATTGTAGAACTTGATATAGGTTTACTGGAAGGAATATTCTACATTGATATATTTAGATTCTAAGATGATGGTAGTTTTTACCCTGGTTTTAACCAATACCATCCGATTTCCTATAAATATTATATTGCTGTTTACTTATGATTGGTAGTTTAATTCTATGATGTAATTGTGAAATAGGATAGGTTATATTTATTCTTAACTAGTTGTTGGCTATAAGTTTATATTACTTATCAAAAAAATAAATCTATTAATTTATGGATAATGAATGTAAGTGAAGCAAGACCGTAAGTAAGCTACAGGAATCTTATAAATATTAACTGATGTCTTTGGGTCTATATATGGTTATTATATTATCAATGAATGACATTATTACCTTTTACAATTGAGTTATTTGTCATAACTACAAGACCTGTCATAAAGTATTCGCCTTAAGTAGTGTAAAAGTATAGGCTTATTACAGTACATTACCTAGTATTGTGATCTTTCTATTACGTCATCATTTTTATGGATTGTTTATATTTGCTTATGGTGTTAAGACCTGTAGTTTTTTCTGTATATAAGTGATTATACAGTTTGATAAAGAACTTGTCAAAAGTGATTTATTTTGTGAATTTCATGTTTTTAGTGACTTCCTATCAGGTTTTATAGTTATTCATTCAATTAATGTTCCAAAAGTACAATCAGGAAATTGAGTTCTCCAAACGGTAGAAGCGATAGCTATTCAGATTAACGATCCAAAGCTTTGTGTTCAGAAGAAATATATCTAACCGTCTCTTTATTCTGTTCTAAAGTTTCAATGTCAATGGTTATCTTAATTATAAGACAGTTAATGTACATGTAACTTCTCTCCCAATTTTATTTTCATGACAGTAAATTTATTTTACAAATATATTATAATTATTTTCATAGTTTGAATCACAAAGTGATCTTATAGCACTATTGAAAACTTGGAAGTAACGGGCTTTTCAGTAGAGTACATTCACTACCCTTCATCGATTTGTGATTCAAAGTAGGGAAATTCGACAATTTTCATAAATCCCTCCATGCTAATCATCATGTACTCACTAGTGGCAGGCTTCAGTATTTTTCAACTTAGCAGCTCGTCTATGATCGAAACCCCGCCCTACCTAGACGATCTAAAGTAGCTGACCGGTCAGAAGTTGAATACTGCCACCAACTACGAATACTGAATCAGCCCTTTTGGAAGCATGTAAACCATTTAAACTGGCCTCCTACAACGTCCGAACACTTATGCAGATCGGATAACAGATAGGGTTGGCTATGTCTTTTAGAAAGTCTTAGTATCGATGTATGTTGTCTATCCAAGACCCGTATTCAAGACTCTACTCTGGTGAAGCATTACAAATTCGTTTTCCATCTGTCGCCTCAGAAAGCTTGGTACACGTGTGTTTACCCGGGGACCCTGTGGTATCTTCCTCTGGTCTTGCTGGCGGCGGTGTCGCACTAAGCGCTAGAGCTGAGGTAGCACTAATCGGTTGTATCCTCATTAACAAGCCGTTATGTGCTGTTAGATTAGAAAGTTTCTTTAAAGTGCAAAGAAATCGGTGTGAGAAATTATTATTATTATTATTATTAGCTTTATCCAAAATTATATTATTGGTACAATATAGAATTCTCAGCACAAAGTATTTCAACAAGTTTCCGTTTCTTTCTTCTTGGTCGGTCCTGGCGATAAATATTGAGTGATCGCCGGTTAGATGTTAGCAGTCCAGTAAATGAACATCTGAATAATGCACATTCTCTTCGTTGTATATTGCCAGCAACCACATTCTTTCTTTTTTAGCTTTTTGTAACTTTGACAACGAAAGGTTGTACACTTTTCAGAAGCGCAGCAGAATAGGTTGTGCGATTAATAGACATAATGATATATTAAAACAAAGAAAAATAGATAACTTGTTGAAATATCTAGATGGCAGGAACAGGTAGCCCAGATGCTCAAGCAGGTCGCCTTGATATGCACTCTTCAACAGATTACAGCCTGGATGAGTTTTACCACCAGTTAACTATTTTTCTACAACAAGTGTGTTCGACAGATGTCTTAGTACTAGCCGGAGACTTGGATGCTCAGGTCGAGCGTCTAGACACAGAATAGTGGCCGATGGAGACTTGTTGGTCTCTTTCAGATAATGGTGACTATCTACTGCAACTGTGCGTAGAGAGCGCGCATATGTGATGAAACTACTGCCGAGTTAAAATGAGAACTAAATAAACGTATGGTGATAATGATTGTGACTGAAGTTTAATTAACTTTTAAACTATCAATTCTATGTTGAACCAGCTCAGTTTTCAACAATTCTTCATTTGACATTAGTTCATTATTCAATATTTTCAAAAAGCCATTTTATTTAATTTTTATTAAACAAAATGAGACATAAACCTTCCGATATCTAATGATGTGACGTCATTTTTTAATCGATTAGTTCTTCAATTCTGTATAGATCTACTGCAGCTAATCTGACTGTATAAATTAACTTTTTTCTTCAAAAATTAGATTTGATGATTTGAAGAAAACTACTCAACACCTAATTTTCGAATAAAATATTCATGGAATAAGTAATCCAGTCTTAGTTACTTTACAATCACTGAAACAAATAACACTTATAGTATCAGTTACTATGTTAAGCTCATATATCTTATTCTAGCTTTCGGACAGCCCAATCTATTCATTCTACATGATTCACATTCTGACATTGTGAATTATTCGTTTATCAATCTTGACTGTTTTCATATGAGCTCATATGTGTGTGTACACATCTTATCCTATTATTCATCATATGTCTGTAACCTACTCTTGTGTGACTATAAATATTGGTTAGTGCTTAACTAAAAGGGAGTTGGCTTACCAGCCAAACCCACTGCTCGTCATTTTGCTTCACTCTATTCCATTCTCTTCACATATAAAAATAGATGTATTCAAAAGTCCATTCTCGTTATTAGACTTATTTAATTCCGTTAATCACTCAACGCTTATTAAGTTGAACTGATAGGTCCTGGGTTTGAACCTCGCAAGGCGGGATCGTGGGTGCGTACTGCTGATGAGTTTCACAATAGAACGAAATGGCCGTCCAGTGCTTCCAGGTTTTCCATGGTGGTCTAGCTTCAATTGACTCATGATCTTAACCATTGAAGTATTTTAGTCAATTCTATAAATAACTTAAAATATGCTTAAAAGGTTGTTAAAAAGTGACTTAAATTTGAAACGATATAGAAACACTGTAAATTAACTGCTTAGTAATTATCTACTAAAAATATAAGAATGAACTAGTTGAAGATTAGGTACTTCAGATTCAAATCCCACTTTTCTCTTTTAATAATAATAATCTATTTGTGCATACTTAAAGAATCTACATAAGACTAAAGAATACAAATTTATCAATAAATGATATACAATTATGAAGAATATTACTTTAACTTCAAAATCAATCAATCAATAAATGATATATCCTGATCGTTTTTTTCATAAATGGTGGATTAATTATCTCAATATACTGTCTGATCAAGATGGTGATATGTCGCATCGATTTTTTAGTATCATCCCTTTTTTTGTTGAAATAGTCAATCAATAATATGAAGCAATACCTAATAGTACATTATTGATTCTTATATATTGCATAAGTTTTCTGAAAATTCTTCATTTATAAAACCATCATGATAACGTAAAACTATCTGATATGGTTTGTATAAATTTGAAGATCTTTAATATGTAGAAAATGTTGTAACTAACACTGATCAAATATTCAGAAAAAAATAATGATGTATGTTGTTCTTAACCGATAGAATGTAGAAAGTAATTGATTATATACAAACTGATAACTAATACTGAGAAGTTAGTGGTTATTGGTCGGATAACCTGGATATAGAATTACTCTTTTTCAAATCTAAAACATTCAGAGGAGAAATAAGTTCATCCAACAATTATGGAACCTTAGTTTAAAACATTCTTCACAGATTGAAATCATGAGTTAGTTGAAGCTAGACCACCATTGAAAACCTGGAAGCACTGGACGGCCGTTTCGTCATGGTGTGGGACTCCTCAGCAGTGCGCATCCACGAACCCGCACCACCCGGGGCTCGAACCCAGGACCTACTAGCTTCGCGCGCGAGCACTTAACCATTAGACCACTGAGCCGGCATCTAACGGTGTTAATGTCTAACTTCAACCAATCCACGAAGTTGCGCTACCGTTCGAGCCCCGGGTGGTGCGGGTTCGTGGATGCGCACTGCTTAGGAGTCCCATACCAGGACGAAACGGCCGTCCAGTGCTTCCAGGTTTTCAATGGTGGTCTAGCTTCAACTAACTCATGATTTCAATCTGTGAAAATTTCTAAAAATCTCCACAAAACACATTCTGATAATAAAACATTCTTATTTGTAGATTCCGAATATATAAGGTTAAATAATATGAAATTAGTTTAGGTAGTGAGTGGTAACCGTTCAAGTTTGACTGATTGAACTCAATCCATCCTTATAAATAAATGATATGACATCGGTTACTATTCAGTTGTTGACAAATTCACTGTTGCACCATGCAGAATTTTCAGCTTTACATAACTTTTAAAAAAAATCTTAACCTAATCTAAGCCTACCTTCCTAATTAGATGTTTAACAACCTTTCAAATTCGTTTCATATTTATGAATCATGTCTTAAGCATATTTTCATCATCATGTTTATTTGTTTTACACTTTTGTTTAAAAGTAAGGTTAATTGTCATCTGTTTCAGTGACTGATTCTAATGAAATAAACAAATCAGTACATTCAGATTTATGGGACACTGTTACTAATGGATTACCATATTATTTTAACAATTAGGATTTCAATAATAGAAATACATTTAAAATATTTATTCTTCTGCTATTTAATTATCATCATGTATTTATTGTTATAATTCAATGAACTTTTAAAATACCAACTTCCTGATATGTCAGTACATGAAATGAAATGTTAGTGTTTCTTGAACGTGCGAAACATTCCATTCAGTTCATACTATGTCGGTGTAAAAAATATTGTATTATTAAAATTAAAAATTTAAAAAAACCTTCCAAATATTGAATAATTACTTACTTACGTCTGTTACTCCCAGTGGAGCATAGGCCGCCGATCGAGGCCTTCCTTTTTAGTTCTATCCAATTGTTGTTCATTCTTTTCATTTCTGTTTCCATTTCTCGGCGTAATATATTCTTTGGTCTTCCTCTTCTCATTTGGCTTTAAGGATTCCATATGAGGGCTTGTCTTGTGATGCAGTTGAGTGCTTTCCTCAATATGTGTCCTATCCACTCCCAACTGTTCTTTCAGATTTCTTCCTCCGATGGAATCTAATTTGTTCTCTCACACAGTAATTTTTTTCCTTCATTTTTTTAAATTACTTTATTGAATTTAGATATTTTCTCTGGAATTTTCTATATCAATCACAAGTTTAAAGGATTGTTAAAACAAGTGATTAATTATTAAAGAGGAAGAATGTATTTGTAAAATCTCAGCGAACGAATTCGAAGTAAATCCAACGTTTCACCTGACAATCTGGTTCAAGCTTTTTCAAGGAAAATATAATCAAACAACAAAATTATCGAATATAAATAGGTACCATGGTTCTCTGGTTTACTGTATACTGAATAAGTCATCCAATCAACGTACTTTAAACATTGTTCGCGCTGATTGGATGACTTATTCAGTACACAGTAAACCAGAAAACCATGTACCTATTTATATTTAATAATTTTGTTGTTTGATTATAATTGCCTTGAAAAAGCTTGAACCAGATTGTCAGGTGAAACGTTGGATTTACTTCAAATTCTTTCGCTGAGATTTTACAAATACATTCTTCCTCTTTAATGACTCACATTAACTCGGCGCCCAAATATTGTGAAACTATTCGTTCAAATTTAGACGAAAGTTCTTATTTAAGTGATTAATTATTAATGATTTGGTTTCAGACATTTCAGACAAGGATTTGACAGAAATATAACCATCAAATGACTCTGGCTTAACTACTGATGTCTCAGTATGTGATGTAACTTTTCAACTGTAAGTTTTAGTTTTTACCAGATAGTTCAACATTTTTCAATGATAAAAGTAGCTTTTCATAGAGTTTTGTTCTCTAAGCTGGATAGTTTGCTCATGATGTTCAAAAGAACAATGAAAGCTCCACAATCAAACCATCCAATTTAGAGCACAAAACTCCATCAAAATCATCCACCGAAGCTAAAAATCTTTACCATCTCATAAAAGTAACTACTTAATTGTTTAAAAGTGAATTGAATAATTTATAAATTTAATATTAAATCCCTTAAGTCTAATTGGTTGATATTTTAGTATAGTTTTATTTAACCTTATAATAGTACCAAACCTATAATTACATTATATGAAGAGACGATCTATGTCATATCAGATCAAATCAAATAGATTCATTTGAACTGATCAATTCCATAACTACTCATTATGACATTTTGAATTGTTTCTATTCATCGTTTTTGAATATTATTATTCTATCATTATTGATCAGTAATAAGAACTTACCGGATCGTTGTCAGTCAAACAATGAATTGAATAAGTTAGACAAATCAATTCTTCTTCAGAAAACTGAAGTCTCAAATAAATTTATAAATTATATAACAAATACTATTGATAACACAATAAATCCAATGGATGATTCAAATACAGACAGGAGAAAAGTCACAATTAGTGAACCATCAGATAAGCTAAGTCAAGATATTCAATTAAAAGCTGAACAAATTCTTACTGATTTACGTTCATTACCATTGAATTATCCTATAAAAAGAAAAAGAAAGCCTAATATGAAAAATTTAAGTTCAACTGCACTTAATAAAAATAAACATGAAGATGATGAAATCGGAGATCTAGATGATAATGATGTAACTGCTCTATTATCTGATGGTGGAGATGATGATAGTGATGATGAATATAAGGTTAGTTATCAAAATTTTACAATTTATTATGATGTTTAATGTACAATTGAAAGTTATTCATGTAGTATGCATATTATTCTGAATATGCTTTGTTCATCAAAAGTTGATCAAGCTTCAGTAAATCAGGTATTTTTTCATTTACCCCCTCAAAGAGTAATCACAAGATAAGGTAACTAAATACTAGTACTTCTGGAATCACTGGGTGAACTTCACATTAAAAACTAAATAAACAAAATAGAATATCAATGAATTAATTTTGTGAGTTGATTTAGATCAATATTATGATCTTTTAATAATGCTACACCTATCACTCTTAACATGAGTTTTTGCGTCAGAATAGTATTGTGGTGTAGCAATGTCCCGTAATTGATAAACATTCTTGTAATGTTTATTTATTCACTTGTCTATTCTTGAGAAACTCCGCCTGGAGTCCCTCCGGGGGCTACCGCCGGTCCCAAGCCTGGATAAAGGAGGAGGGTTGGGCATGGAATTCGCTAAAAAAACGATATCTTGGAGACATCAAAGCTCTCTTCAAAAGTTCGCCTCTTTTTACCAGAGTGCGACTATCGTCTATAGGGTATAATTTTGCATTAATTATCGCACTGTTTAATCACGTTAGATATGTTTATTTATAAGAAATGCCTTCCGTTATTTTTAATTCCATCTTAGCTATATAAATACAACCTTTAATAAACTTACCTAAAGTGTAGTTATTTTAAGGAATTCTTGATGTAGGTTGATATCAAGTTTGCGTAATAAACTAATTTACTATATGAGTAGTTGAAATTTAAATAGTTTTAACTTTTCACCTGGCATTCTGATCCTAACTCATCCAAGAAGATAATAAAAGTTATCACTGACAAATTAGGTTAAAATTAATTCTGTACTAAATTCTTATTAAATCAAACGTTGAATATGACTCAAGAAAGGGATTTAACATAGATTTTTTATGACCTTTATGACTTTCGTTGATAATTTTGATAATTTCATTGGAGATTCTCTGACTAGAATGCCAGACGTAATGTTGGAACGTTTTAAATTTCAATCATTTAGTTATGTCATATATAAATTCACATTCAATATAAAAGAGAGTTCTTGTCTTCATTTTGGAACATATTCCACTAAAAAGATCGACGTGTTGTTCACAGTGTCATTGGTAGTCATCTGTTTGATATTGTATACAATGTTGTTGTAAGATCGCTCAAAATAATATATACTTAAATGACTTCGAATTTACTATTTTACGCCTAGGCCATCACTATTGAAGTTAAAACCAAACCCATAATTCAATAGGACATAGTTGTAAATTTCTCACTATCCTGGTAACCTTTATTTTTCAGTATCTAGTTACGTAGTATTTTATTTCAGAATCTCAACAACAAATTGCTTTCTTTCAATCTGGGGTCAGTTTTGAGCTTTACTTATTTCTCGGATGATCTATTCAATTTTATGGTTAAGTTATTATATAACTTGACATCAATTCTCAGTTTCTAGAAATATATCTTCATGCATTTTAAAACTTTTCTTTTGGACTTTTCAAATTTAGTAACATAGATATTCATTAGGAAAAATCGAGACGTTTCATAGAAGAAAATTTTCTTTTCAACGATATCATTTGCTGAAACTGTACAGTCATATTTTTAGGAAATTTTTCACATGTGTTCTATAGTAAAACAGAGGGGTTTTACGAAATCATCAAACACGGTCAAACTTATTCAAACTGAAGTCATTCAAAATGAAGTAGACTAGAACTCTGAACTGTTTTTTCTAACAAGAAGCTCTTTCACAGAAGTGTCAAGGATTGTACAGCCAGTGTAATCTGCTCCACAACAGCGGCCACGTTAACTGCAAAATGCACATTGTGGTGGGTCAAAGTGGTAGTTTATACAATTATACAGCTTTAGAAAATAGTATCATTGAAAGGAGAATTTTATTCGCTGAAACGTTTTTCATTCATTCACTTCATTAATATTTTTAATTCTTCCATAACTGTAGTCGTTTCTTTTACCAGTCTTAGGTCACGTGTTATGTACATTAGTTATAAACAATTATAACTGCTTCATTTGTATTTGTTATTTGAATATACCCATTGATGTTGAGGACTACAATTTATCAATAATTTTCAGTATATATGCATCTTGTAAAGGTTGACTTGATACCACCATTAAGTCACATGTATTATAAGCAGATATAGATATTGGTTAGCAGTAGAATCTAAAACGGGCATTTCATCCTATATGGACCTTATTAGCTAGAGATACTTACTGGTCACCATTCATCATTGCTTTCATTATTATTAATGTTTCTAGATTGTAAGAAGTTGAAGAGAAGACAATCCTTGTTACTACCTTAGTTTAATACTATTTTATTCAATACTGAGTATTAAGTAAACCAAATAATCTGGAATAAAATCTAGTTTTGGGTCTTTTTGGGGTTTTTTTTTTAAAGAAAACTCCCTAATTGTCAAAACCTTCGATTTACCCTCTATTATAGAATATAATAACAGATCAATATTTTATTCTATAAAACATCTTTTAGGCAACATCACAACTGTTAAATGATGATAATCAAATGAAATCACCGAATAGAACTAGTTCCAAGAAGTTTGAAAATATACAACATAAATCTAATTTATTAAATATACGTTGTGATATGTTACAAAAATATATTCATTATTTAGAAGCACGTAAATGTTCATTAGAACATTCTATTATAGAATTAAATCAATATTTTGAAAGAAATCAACAACAACAACAACAACAACAAAATAAAAGAAAAGAAAATGAATGTAAAATAGATTCACAACAATTTGAAGAAATACTTACAAATCAAGTAAATTAGAAATTTGTGTATGTATGTGTGTATGTGTAAATTACGCAATGAGTTGTACTGAAAAGTATACAGGTAATTTGTCACTTTTAAGTTCGTAAAAATTAGAAAGATAAGTGGTTTAATCTATAAAAGAAGATAAACTTACATAATTACTTACTTATATCTGTTGCCCTCAATCGAACATAGGCCACCGACCAGCATTCTCCAACCCATTCTGTCCTAGGCCTACCTTTCTAGTTCTATTCAGTTGTTGTTCAGTCTTCTCATATCTGTCTCCATTTATTGGTGTAATGTGTTCTTTAGTCTTCCTCTTCTCGTTTGGCCTTGAGGATTCCATGTGAGGGCTTGTCTTGTGATGCAGATAGGTGCTTTCCTTAATATGTGTCCTATCCACTTCCAGCTCTTCTTTCAGATTTCTTCCTCTGTTGGGATCTGGTTTGCTCTCTCCCACAGTACGTTGTTGCTGATAGTGTCTAGCCAACGAATCTGAAGTATTTTGCGTTGAAAACTATTAATCAACACTTGTATGTTCTGGATAATGGCTTTCGTAGTTCTCCATGTTTCCGCTCCATACAGTAGAACTGTTTTAACATTAGTATTGGTGTTGGTTGACAGTCGTTTTGAGTTTCATATTTTCTTAAACTGTAGGAATACAGTCCTTGCTTTGCCAATTCTCTCCTTTATATCTGCATCAGACCCTCCTTTTTCATCGATGATGCTGTCCAGGTACTCGAAAGATTCTACCTCTCCCAGTGTTTCTCCATCAAGATAAAATCTTGATTTTAAGGAGTTTTATTAATTAATTTTTAATTACACTACATAGTGCCATACTTTTTGGTTATGCAGTTAGATACAACGGGTAGGAAGCTGTAAACAGAAATTTTGCGCTGGTTACAATTTATCAGTAAAGGATCTCTACAATCACTAGGGGACTGATGTCTTCCTTGCAAAACTAGAATCCATGTCACCCTACTTAATAAGTATTAATTGAAGAGTGGCGTTGATTTTTTGATGTCAGAACAAGGATTAAATCACTATTTAATAACATGAAAAATTCAAGGACGAAGTATTAATTGATAGTTTAGAGACATTTGTTGGTAAATGACAGCTTTATTATATTGCCAATAATCCAACTATTTTATATTTGATCAAAGTTGTGTTCACTAAGTTAGATCGTTTGGGCTCAAAGTTTTCATTGTCTCTTTGGAAACCATCAGCACATACTTCAAAAAGAGGGTGAGTTATTGGAATTTCTCTAAATTTGACTAACAACTGGTCTGTTAGTCAAGAATTCTGATGGTTGTTATTTATAATTGTGTGATCATTGTTTGCATTTTTTCTCCTCTGATCATGAAGTTCTTAATCCTTTTTCTTACTAACTGATAGATTGGGTCTATTTTGACGTGTCTAGTTATTGATGTTTGGTTAAAATGCTAGGCTTCACGAATAAAACACTCATTTAAGAGAAAATGATACTTCCAACATCTTTAACCTACGAATATTATTCATCATCTCATTTTCTATTATGAACCTAAACATTTATAGACAAATATGTCTTGTTTCTGTGGACAGATAACTTTTCTTCTGCCTCAGTGATGAATTCTTTGGTGTTTTATCTTATGTAATGATTCATCTGTCAAGTAAAAAATAAAAAAATGTTAGTATGAAATACATGCTGTAATTAAATTGAATGTAGCAAGTACTTCACATAATATTAAGTCAAATATCATTATATTTGCCTTTCATTTAGGTTTAAAACAACTCATTTTATTTCATTTGATACCCACGGTTGTAAGATAATATCATGTTAATTTTGAAGTAGCCAACCAGCGCTCAATCTCTGGAAAGATCTCACATAAACACTAATAAAGATTGTTTGGCTATATCTAACCTGAATTTTATGTTTGATTATCCGAAGTAACTTGGTATATTCTCTATTTACAAGTTGAATTATATGAGGATGTTACAGTTCCTTCACTAGTCTAAGACATTTATCAAGTGTTACTCTAGTTTTCATTATCTCCCTAGCTGACATTATGGTTTAAAGGTTAAAATCAATATTAAATTAATGGCTCAATTTCGTGAATCGGTTGAAGTTAGACATCTACACTATTAAATGTCGGCTTAGTGGTTTAGAGGTGAAGCGATCACCCGAGAGACTGATCGGTCCTGAGTACAAATCTTGCGAGACAAGATCGTGGATGTGCACTGCTGAGGAGTCTCACAATATAATGAGACGGTCAGCAAGTGCTTCCAGGTTTTCCATGGTGGTTCATTTCCAATTGGATCATGAAGTCAACTATTAAATTAGTATTTATTTACTCTTTCTATCTTTGTATCAAATTTCAACCTTTTTCATAATAAATTTTTTAATTAAGTAACATATTTTTATTTCAAAGGTTGAAATCATGAGTCAATTGAAGCTAGACCATCATGGAAAACCTGGAAGCACTGGACGGCCGTTTCGCCCTAGTGCGGGACTTCTCAGCAGCGCGCACCTACGACCCCCCCCCCGCGGGACTCGAACTCAGGATCTACCGGCTTCGCGCGCGAGCACTTAACCACTAGACCACTGAGCCGGCAACCAACGGTGTTAATGTCTAACTTCAACCAATCCACAAAGTTGCGCCACCGAACACCATTGTCTTCAGTGAGTTGATATCTCACAACAGACCTGGTTGAACTCCACTCCCGCGGAGGGGGCGGGATCGTGGATGCGCACTGGTTAGTAGTCCCATACTAGGACGAAACGGCCGTCCAGTACTTCCAGGTTTTCCATGGTGGTATAGCTTCAATTGACTCATGATTTCAACTTGTGAAATTTCCTAAAATCTCCACAATACTCATTCTGATATTTTTATTTGATTTTAATTTAATATTTTATTTCAATTAGAGTATTGCATTAATTAGAGAAAAAGAACAATCTACACAATATCGATTAAAATATGAATCAGTTGAAGCTGCACGTTTTGAATTAAGTCAACAACTTCAATTAACTTCATCTGAATATGATGCAGATAAGAGATTTTATCAAAAACAAATTAAACAATTAGAAGAAGTAAGTTTCAAATGAATTGATATAAGCATGAAATATATTGAATAGTAATATTAAATAATTAGCATTTCATTGTATTAATGAAATATGATATCTGGTTAGATTATAATGTACCGACTATTCACAACCTCTTTATATTTAATAATTCTTTAGCAATGCCCATGCACGACCCCCGCACGTGGGACTCCAACCCAGGACCTTCAGCCTCACGTGCGGACACTTAAGCTCTAGACCATTGGGTCGATGTCCAATGGTTTTAATATTTTACTTCAACAATGTATGATTTTATTATTATTATTGGCTTTATTCAATATTATATTTCTGATACAATGTAGAATTCTCAGCACAAAGTATTTCAACAAGTTGCCTTTTCTTATTTCTTGATGAATTCATGCAATAAATATTGAGTGATCGCCAGTTAGAGAAGTTAGCAGTTCAGGAATTGATATTTGAATTATGTACATTCTTTTCGATACATATTGCTAGCATCCACAGTGTCTCTGATTGGACCCTTCTGTAACTTGTACCGCGAATTGTTGTAAACTTGTCATAAACGCTTCTGAATAGATTATGCGACTAATGGGCATAATGATGTGTTAAAACAAACAAGAAAATGGATAATTTGTTAAAATATCCAGATGGTAGGAACAGGTAGCCCAGATATTCAAACAGGCCGCCTAGAATTCAATATTGCACGATCGTCCACCATTGTCTTTAGTGAATAACTGCCTCACAACAGACACGGCCATCCAGTGCTTCCAGGTTTTCAATGGTTGTCTAGCACTCATTCATTCATGATGCCAACCTAAACTCAACAATCTCCACAACGCTATATTGATAATAATTCTTGTTTACAAACACTTGCATCTATTTGAAAGTAGTTAAAAATGTACATCATAGTTTAAACTCTGTATACAGTATCTTAAAGTCAAAGACACAAAAAGACAGGAATACAAATAGAATGAAATGACTAGAATAGTTAAAATAACAATTGCCTCATAGAATTGATTGGAAATCTCAAACAAAATGAATTGTAGAGAAAGAACTACCGGTTACTGAGAGAACAGATCACTTTAAATTGGACAATCATTGAAAACCAGGAAACGCTAGTTAGATATTTCATTCTAGTATTGAACTTCATAGCAGTATCCATTCACAACTCCACTGAAGATCGAACCCAGGACCTTCAGGTCTCGTGACAGTAGTCTTACCTTTAGAGCAACGAGTTGCTACCCGATGATTTATATGTCTAAATTCAATCCTGTAACAAAATTAATCTTAATTACATTTAACACTCTACATAAACTACAATACTGAAAACTACTAGTCACTTCGTTGTGAACAGATTATGGAATCGAAACATATCATTTATAGTAAATATGTTCAAATAAGACAGTATAACAAACCCCATAATTAATAATTAACAAAGTAAGTGAATTGAGATTAGAAAACAGCCAATACTTCTCGATTCTTCACTACTATATAAGCAAATATGTTTTACTTTAATAGCATCAATGTAATATTTATGGTTTAGTAACTAATTTACCAATCGGTTCTTATCAGTTTCGAAAAATATAAAAATCCTGATAGTTACTACATAACTAACTAAGAACAGTAGAAATTTAGTATTATCATTATTGTAATAAATAAAAGGTCAGATTTATAAATATTTATATCGTGGATGCGCGCTGCTGAGGAGTCTAACAATAGGGTGAAACGGCCGTCTCGTGCTTCCAGGTTTTCCACGGTGGTCTAGCTTTGATCGACTCATGGTCTCGACCATTCAAATTAATATAATATCCACAAAAAATATGCTCACTGGTGACTGACTTCAAGAGGCATTTCCTGGAGTTCTACTTAGAAGAAGTGACCAGTGGAGTTCAACCAGGTCTGTTGTGAGATAGTAGCTCACTGATGACAATGGTGGACGTGTCGCTCAAATTCGTGGATTAGTTAAAGTTAGACAATAACACCGTTGGATACCGACTCAATGATCTAGTGGTTAGACGCTCGCGCGCGTGATCGATAGGTTCTGGGTTCGAGTCCCGTAAGGCGGGATCGTGGATGCGCACTGCTGAGGATTCCCGCAATAGGACTGGACGGCCATCCAGTGCTTCCAGGTTTTCCATGGTGGTCTAGCTTTAATTGACTCATGATCTCAACCATTGAAATTACTATAATATCCACAAAATCCCTTCTGATATGAAATATTTATATATTGAATTATAGGAAATTCAAGAACGTATCAATAAAGCGAATGATATTAAATATGTTAATGAACAATTACAAAATGAAATATTAAATTTCAAAAGTCAAATAAATTCCCTTAAAGAGGAATTAAAACAAAAAGAATATGAAATGAATATGATTGGTCAGTGTTATGATCAGAAAATTAAGGTAAGTTTTATTGTGCCATTGATATTAATGAAATGAATTGAGATTTCTGAACTGCTAACTTCTCTAACTGGCGATCACTCAGTATTTATCGCAAGAATCGATCAAGAAAGACGAAAAGGCAACTTGTTGAAACACTTTATGCTGAGAATTCTATATTGTACCAAAAAATATAATATTGAATAAAGCCACTAATAGTAATAATGAATGAAATAACTGTTCTTAGTTAATCACTAAGCAACTTTCTTAGATGTAAAGTTTATTGAAAAGAAAATGGTAATACTATAGATTGTAAAACAAATTTTACAAAATACATTTTTGTTTACAAGTTACTCTCATTGTAAATTGAGAAAAACAACAACAGATAAACTTGTCTTGATAGACAAAAATTGTCTATCTTCTCAATTCTGATGGTGAATTAATACAGATTTCAAGAGTCTTCATACAGTTCTTGATTAGCGTTAGATAATTACGGTAAGGATTAGGAGTTAGGGTTAATATCGTGAATTAATATTAGCTATAGATGTATACATGTTGAACAGAAATACTGTCAGATTAGTTATTCTGTAAAATATAGTCCCACCAGGTTAAAGTTTGTTCCTGAATTAAGGTTTTATGGTTAAGATTTAGGGATATTGCTGATTGACTTGTTACATACAATTTAAAGAGACAGAATTAAGCATTTTATACGTTTGACATTATTATTTTTGCTCTATGCTTCCTAAAAGTAATTTTTTACTATCATTTTAAACGTTTTGAGCGGTATTTCTCACAGGTAGATTAGTGCTACATCAGTAATCAAAGTTCAACTATGTTAGCTGTAAGGCTTGTAGTTGCCTAATATCGAGTGAATCGATTGAAGTTAAAAATGGTTTGAAGGTTGAGAGCTCTCTACAAGATCCATAGATTTTATATTTGGTCTTTAATGACGGGTGGGGGGTAGGGTTGTGGAAATGTATTAAATTAGTTTAAAATTTCCCCATTTACACCATGCATGTAATTTTTCTAGAACTAAACAAACTCTTCATATTAACATTTCCGTTTGCTTGTTTGTTTTTTTCTATTTACTGTTATTCAAACACAAAAGTAACCAACCATTAAATATTTAGATTGTGTTTTTTATCAATGTAAAATTAAATTAACAACTTGGTTACGTGGAGGGTAAAATAAATAAATAAATAAAAAGAGCAAATTAAAATATGTAAATGTAGAATATAAAAGAAACAACTATACGGAGTTACATGAGTTACATGTGTATTGTTTTTTTTCCAGTGAAATGCATATTTTAATAGTATAGAATAACAATATAGATAAATTATGCGTTACTATGGCATTTTGAAGAAACTAAGGTCAATTTATACATATGACATGTGATCTTTAAAGTGATAGAAAATGGAAAGTATCCACATTATTTTAATCAAAATAAGATCAATAAAAGAAAAAAATTTTAAAGCCATTATTAAAACATGAGGTCTCAAATGCAGGCACATTCAGCTGACGAGTCCTAAATAGGACGAAACGTGCGTCAAACTGGATTCCACTACTAAATACTATCCATCTTTGTATATAATGCTTGTGAATTAAGGCTATATCGATGCAATACAAATAGTATGCACATATGCCAATAAGAGACTGATCAATTGCAGTCCTAAATATCAATGGAAAGATTCAAACAAACAATACCGAATGAATTTAATTTTATTCATAATTTAGAATAAGGAAAACATAATTAACCTTCAAAATAAATAAATTTCCTTATCTTATTAGTCTGTTTGTTAATTGGTTAAAGGTAACTAATATTAAAACTTTAAAACTACATTAAGTGCCAGTTTGTACTTATTACCCCCAAATGCCCTGGTATGGCCGAGAGTGCGGTGGGTTCACCCTCTCTCTCGAAATGCTCTCACACGGCCGCGCGTATACAGCTCCTGCCAGGGAAGTCCTACTCATTGCCTTCTCGTGGCAGGGGTGTTGTTTACGAAAATGAGAGGACGAAAAGCGAATGTCCGGCGCTTTAACCGGATCCCAAACCAATAGTGCACATGAGCTCCAGTATCCTGCGGGAACAAATGGCGTATGAACCAATTGTTGGTCACCGGCTACCATGGGACTACATCTCCCCACGATATTCCACTGCCTTGTGGGTTAGACCTTTAGGTCAAAGGCTCGGGGTTTGGCCCCCTAAGATAACCACCTACTTCGGTTTGGGCACCCAGGCAGTATCACAGCCCACACACACACAAATATGGTGTGGCGCATATATATTTGGTGCCCTCTTGTACCGATATTTATGTGTTGAAATAATAATAATAATTGTACTTATCAATAATGAAAAACACGATTTCCTATAGATTGAAATCTATTTCAGTCCATATAACAGTTAGATCTGGAAGCCTCTTTAAGAGGTAATTTATCATCTCGTAAATGATAACGTAAGTAAATACTAATGTCTACCAGGAAGCACGAAACCTATACTCAGAACCTCCTGCCAATTAATTCAACCAAGTAGCATAAGACATACTGATTTCTAATATCGAGTCATTTAACCTTGTAACCAAATTACAATTATAACTGAAGAAATTATTCCGCATTAGTAACATTCAAGTATATAAGATATATTTAGTGTGGGTTAGATAACTGATGGTAGTTGACATGGAACCTTAGACACTGATCTCGGGTTATTTGGTACTCGTCAGCTCGTCGGTTTATTTACATTTATACTAAAATTTCTCAAATGCTATACTGTAGTCGCTGGTTTTAGGACAAAAGAAATTTTATGTAAAATGCTGATTATGAGATTTTTAAAAACTTCTAATGAAATAGCACATTTTAATTCTATTCTGGATATCTAGTAATCTTTAATCTCGAGAGCTGCTAACTGAATGTACTTACATTTCAGTGGTAGTGCACACATTAAAATTGGGACCTAGTACACCATTGCTTTATCCAGTCAATCATTGAGCCATAATGATCACTTACTTGTTCGATGAGTATCACATTTATTCCATACCAATTGCTTTCTGCTTCCGTTCTTTCCTCTTCTATCTTTTCAACCTTCTGCTGCCAGGCATCCTGTTCCTAATTGATGTTATCTACCACTTATGTCAACATAAGTAGCACACACCACACTGACACTAATTTTTCGAATACTATTTCTTTTATCAGGAAGAAAATGAACAACATGAATTAGAAATTGTAAAATTACAAAGAGAAATAACCGACCTATCAGATAGAACTTCGAAAGCATCTACAAAATCTGAATATGAAATTGATACATTAAATACACATTTAAGGATAAGTCAAAATAAAATTCATGATTTATTATGTGAAAAAGAATATCTCTGGTAAGTAATTAAGTCCCATTTTCATACATTTTTCAAAATTCTTTGATACTGCATTATCAGTTTGATTTTGTTTGGTATAGTATACTGTGTTATATTGATCAATTATTGAGTATACTGCGCGGCAGTTCGTTCTGTTTTACTTTACGGCTGCGAAACGTGGCCATCAAGAGTTGAAGATACTCGTAAGCTACTGGTATTTGAACATAGATACCTTAAAAGTATTTCTGGGATCTGCTGGAATCATTGGGTAAGTAATAGCGAGGTTAGACGCAGTGTATTAGGAAATGATGGTAAATCAGTTGATGAGGTTGTGAATCTTTATCGACTGAGATGGTTGGGCCACATGTTGCGTATGCCTGAACACCGATAACCAAGACGCGCAATGCTAACCGGTGTTGAGGATGGTTGGAAGAAAGTTAGGGGCGGCAAAACCAAAACGTGGCATCAGTGCTTGAAGACATGTTGTTAGATGCGGACTTCTTGGTTGGGGTTCGCGTGAGTATCGTAACCAATGTTTGGAGACTCTTAGTGACATGGCTCAAAATCGACCACAACGGCGTAGGTGTATACATTCTTTGACTTCCATTAACCTATGAGATTACAATTGCTTCATATCTTTCTACGAACTAATTATTTCTTCCTGTACTATGTCCTTATATGCAATGTTTCTCTTATATATTACCACCACTGAATTAGCTACTTCTATAAATTCGGTGTTGATATTGCTGTGATAATGCGGTATGACAACTTGGACCGATGCATATATGTTCCTGGTCCTTCGCTGTAGCTGACTGACTGATCGAATTCGGTTACTGATGGAAGAGAAAAGTGTAACTGATACTGATTAAATTTAAGTTAAATTCATGTATTGACAAACATCTAAGGGATTATTTTATTATGAACTTTTAGGGGAAATTTTTATAACTTGTGGGTGGTTTTTTGTTATAGATTGAATGTCTTCTGGTGAGGAATCAATTTTTCAATCTTATGAGATCATTCTATACTAGCTCAAATATGATTAAAGTTTGTAAAATATAGTTACATTTTAACTGACAATTAAACATTTATCAGAAGACATTTATAACATATTGAATATAGTATAAAATAGACGTAGGTCACTTTCATATAGAAGACAATGGTCACTCAGTTAACTAGTTACTTCTTGAAGGTACAAATCAGTATAATCTTATTTCTGTCAACTAAACAGAGCTTTCTAGGCACTTTCAAGTGAAACAAATGTATCTCATAAATCTTTATTCATCATTCACTTACCGTGAGTACAATCTAGCAAGGTTATTGTGGTGCATGATACTTATACTAACAGATATAAGTAGTATGTAGCAACAATCGAAAGGAAAATTCTTGCCAGAAGAAGATTGAGATAAAGAGAACAGGAAGGAAATCGGACAGTAATCATAATAACAGCAGAATTAGAAGAATTGTGAACTGTGTAAAGGACTACTGAAGGAAGATATAACATTACCCGAGTTAATAAATTGGTTTACTCCATCTGAGTTCTCGTTTACAACACAATTATAAATAATTTTTATGATGATAGACATATATTTAGCAGTTCACATACTTTCCATAATGAATTCAATTAAAAAAGATTAGATATCCATACAGATCTACTATTGATTTCATTTATTTGTGTATTTATTTTTCAGTAAACAACTTCAAGATATTACTCATAAATTAAATATTAGTAGTCAAGAAAAAGACGAACTACAAAAGAAAATGGATAGTGAGTTATTGAAAACAAAACAAGAGAAGGTGGTTATTTCATAATTATTTGAATCATTGTCATTACTTTATTTTGAATGTAACAATTTGTGATATCAGCCTAAAAAGTCACAATATCAGACAACTTTTCAATCTAGTATAAAACATTCACCGTCAGAGAATCTTATGATTAAGATGAAACAGTTTTTGGGTTATTGCCTTTATCGATAGTTTAGTGAGAAGTCAAAGTTGATCTAGAAAACTTAATTTGTTGTTTTACTAGACATTTCAAACAATCTGGTCATATATACATTTGGTAGTCATATTATCAAACTTAATGTAAGTGACCGATTGTTTCAAATATTACTCCTTTTTTAGTGGTCTCTTTTTAAGTGCTATCATGTCACAATGAAAATAAATGCTCAATTTATTTAAAGTGCTTAACAGTCAAATATAAAGTTTATTTTCTACTTGAATTAGAACAAATTAGTGTGAAAATATCAAGATCTGAATAGGTTCCAGTGAAGATTTCCAGCTAACGTGTATTCTTTTAATGATGTTGAGTTGTTTTAGCTAGATGCTTTAACTGCAACGCTTTCACTGCCGTTTCGAACAACGTCATCAACGTCAGTTTCATGTAAACATGAAATTTCCAGCTATTCTATGAGCATTAAATCAGTTCGTTCTGGTAGCCTCATTTGTAATTAGTAATCTTCATTGCCTCTTATATATTCAAATTGACAATCTCGTTCAACTGACCTGTGATCATTTGATTAATTGACTTTTTTGGGTATTTTTTGACAGGTCAGATTTATGTTGATTTACCTATTGATAAACACACATTTTTTTATGGTTTACGGGATCAGACAATGTGTTTGTAGAAAATTTCCAAAAAGCCAATATATCTTTACACAGCTTTCTTAACATTTACACTTAAATAAACATTTGACTATTGTGTTTTACTATCATTACAGATTATCGGAATATTTGCAGATAATCTCGTTTAAAAACTCTTTAAGTAGAATTACTTGGATGATTCTCAATAAACTTAAACATTCCGATTGGCAAGAAATTAATAATTTTCATAGTTGGAATCATGAGTCAATTGAAGCTAGATCACCATGGAAAACCTGGAAGCACTGGACGGCCGTTTCATCCTAGTATGGGACTTCTCAGTAGTGAGAATCAGAGATTCCGCCCCCTGCAAGATTCTAGCGTGGTCTAGCTTCAATTGACTCATGATTTCAACTATTCAAATTGCTAAAATCTTCACAAAACCCCTTCTGATAAGAAATTAATACCAAAATACATTTTAACAGATTTGATACAAATTGCCATGAAAAGTGATAAAATTCCATGGTATCCAATAAATTTATCAGTAAAGTCATTATGTCAATAAATAAATTTGTTTATAGTTCATTTACTGGCACAAATATTGATTATTATTGTGTGAAATGCTTTTTACAGTTAAGTGATAACTTCATTAGTGGGAACTATGGTAACGAAATCAACGAATATTGATTATAATTGTGAATGCAAATGCACAAATTAGTGTACAAACTCACAAACAAAAGTATATATTTATGTTATATTTATTCGAATAGTTAGTTTATAGTTATGAATGTAATAGTGATATCTAAGGTAAACAAAAATGTTTTCAAAAGTTAGTTGTCAAACGATTCATTACTTTATACAATGAATTCAAGTTATTTGATCACCTAATTTTTATGAGTCACTGATTGTCCTTTGAGTTTTTTTTTAGCTAAAAATTTCCAAAAATTAATGAAATACTACTAATATTCAATTTTACTTCATGTTGAAAGTGTTCAGTAATATATAGTTAGGATTTTTTTAGCCGGTTATTCTGTGATGTGTGCTACTGATATTGGCAGATATAAGTAGTATGTAGTACCAATCGAAAGTGAAATACTTAGTGGTAGAAGATTAAGAAGATTAAAGAAAAAAGACAACAAGAACAAGAAATGATTGTTGTGGAAACAAAAGAACATTGAAGTCTGAGACAATTGATTGATATTTTGCAAATAAAGTATTTATTGTGTGGTTCTCTGATTTTACTAAGATGTTCTATAATTTTGTGTTCAGATACATCCGATTATCCCCAATTGTGTTCTGGTTCACTATATTACAGTAAAATCAACTTTAGGTTTACAAGGGCCAAGTTCAAACATTTAACAGGTCATTTTCATAATTTTAATTACATAAGAATTTCGATTTCATTAAAACACAAAGATCTAAACGACAAATATTCTTTTCAATAAATCCCTATTAAATTTCGATCGTTACGACTTGATATTAAAACGGATTAGCATGGTTTACGGACATGAGATTACCCATTCATTTCAATAGCTGTGTAGTATTTAATAATTAGGAGCATTTTTCTATGCATTTCATAAGTGAGTGTTGAATGTAAGAGTAAAATTCCTGCTGGAGATTTCATTTCAAGTCCTAAACTTTCCCTTGATTTATGTTTTTCTTCTAGCTTGTTGAGGTTGCTACACTGACAAGTTCCTAGTAAACAGAAATGAATAACTTCAGTTGGTTGAAATGAGATGTCCAGCGAAATAAACCCCTTCACTTATCACTCAATTATTTCGTAAAATTTTCATGCATTACATAATCTTCGGCCAAAAATTTGATCTAGCTAATTACATCAGTTCTTTCCCCTTACGATATTCATAGTGCGGCTGGCTTACAAACTCATTCTTGTGAATAAGAATATACTGATCATTTCAACATATATCGAAGCTAATAATTTTATCTCAGAACAAAAAACTGAGTTATATGTAGAATCTAAAAGTAAAACAAAGTATTTATCTATGATATATATTAAGAATGACAACATAAGCAATGCATTTTACGCACCACATTTCGTGAAATGTCCAAGGAGTTCACACAATCAGGAAACAACTTCTTCTTCACATAGTTATAAAGGAATAACTTGTAAGAAACATACGATGACTAAGTAACAGTCAGTATCTGTGTCAAATTCAACTGTAGCAAGCAACAGAATAAAATGAGAACTATGCATTTTGAATATGGAAATTGTTAAACTTAACTAAATATTCAGTGAATATGCAAAAGAATAATTATGATTTGTCAATAATATTGAAAAAATACCGTTGCGAGAATATACGAATTGAAAGTCACAGATTATGTAAATACTTAGAAACATCACAATACAATAAAATCAATGTTTCCGAAATGATTGATAACCTTCAGTTACTGAATTTTAATAAGTAATATAGTATAATACACAAAAAAGAAACAGAACAAAAGTGAAACTGGTGCAATCTTCTTCAGGGAAGTAGTCGATTATTTCACACAAAATTGAACCTATTTAATTGATTAATTTCCTAGAGAAACTCGGAATAGTTTGCGTGGTGAAACTTTGAAATTGTTTAAATTTCAATCCCCGACATAATTTCTAAATTAAATGTCTTCCATATTCCCAAGACTTAATTCCTATAAAAATGTTCTTATAAATTAATATCAGTGATAGAATTTTACCTTCCATGATGTTTTACAAAACCTATCGTTTCGTAACGTTCATCTATGAGTACAGAATAGGCTGAAAGTTTTACCGTAGTATAAATTAACCTTCATCGGTTTTGATTCTTCTACACATTTTGATATGACACCCCATCCTTCAACTAATCACTTCAATTATAGATTTACACTTAACAGTTTGATTAACATTTTAATGTGTAATACCTTTTTTTCCAATTAATATAGGAAAGTGAATTCATGGAAATTCAAACAAATTTAAAAGATCATAAAAATAAACTAAATGAAATTCAACTAAAATATGATACAGATATTGAAACATTGAAGAGGAATCATGAAGTAGAAATTGAAAAATTAAAAATTGATTTGAAAGTTAGTCGAATAGTTATTATTTCCATTTAATTATATTGTGTATTGATTAGTTGAATCCTGTTGTATGATAGTAACTCACTGATGACAATGGTGGACGGTGGCGCAATTCCGTGGATGAGTTGAAGTTAGACATTAACGTAGTTGAATGCCGATCAGCTCAGTGGTTTAGAGGTTAGGTGTTTGCGCGCGAAACCGACAGGTCCTGGGTTCGAATCTGGGAAGGTGGGATTATGGATGCGTACTGATGGGGAGTCTTATACTAGGACGAAACGGCATTCAGTGCTTGCAGGTATTCCATGGTGGTCTAGCTTCAATTGACTCATGAATTCAACTATTAAATTAATATAATATCCACAAAACTCTTCTCTGATCATAACAAAACAATTGCCAACGAAAATTAATCAAAATCACGATCTCATGTGGGGAAATTCAAATAGTGCACTTCAATCTAAGCTGTGTATTGCTGACATTGCTTAAAAAGATGGTTATAGTTTCTTTATACTTCATACACTTATTTATTTCTGTACACATGAATTGATGGTAACAACTTAACATTTTTCAGAATTGTTTATCGTGTTAAAGTTTTCTAGGCCTTAATTAAATTGTAATTTAATAGTTGAGATTCCACGGGGCGGGATCGTGGATGCCCACTGCTGAAGAGTCGCACAATAAGACAAAACGGCCGTTCGATGCTTCCAGGTTTTCCATAGTGGTCTAGCTTCAATTGACTAATGATTTCAACTATTGAAATTACTATAATATCCACAAACACCCCTTTCTGATTTTAAATTGTGATTGTTTGATTAATTAATCATTTAGTAATTAAGAATTGGTTTGTTTTATATGGGTAATTTTGCAGCTAGTGTGTGCAACTTTGCATATTTAAGTAGTTCGTCTAATCACATTGACGGACTTGATTAAATGGACAAATTTTATTTGTCAGTAAATTCTTAAGCACAAAGAATAGCTTAGAACGAGTTCTGTTAAAAGTTTCACTTAAGGATTTTGGTAATATTTATTTACTTACTTACTTACGCCTGTTACTCCCAATGGAGCACAGGCCGCCGACCAGCATTCTCCAACCCACTCTGTCCTGGGCCTTCCTTTCTAATCCCATCCAATTCTTGTTCATTTTTCTCATGTCTATGTCCACTTCCCGGCGTAATGTGTTCTTCGGTCGTCCTTTTTTCTTTCGGCCCTCAGGATTACATGTGAGGGCTTGTCTTGTGACGCAGTTGGGTGCTTTCCTCAATGTGTGTCCTATCCACTTCCAGCGCTTCTTCCTGATTTCTTCCTCCGCTGGGATCTGGTTCGTTCTTTACCACAGTTGGTTGTTGCTAACAGTGTTCGGCCAACGGATCTGAATTATTTTGCGTAGAAAACTGTTAATAAACACCTGTGTCTTGTGGATGATGGCTTCCGTGGTCCTCCAGGTTTCCGCTCTATACAGTAGAACTGTTTTGACATTTGTATTGAAAATCCTGACCTTGGTGTTGGTTGATAGTTGTTTTGAGTTGCAGATGTTCTTCAGTTGTAAATATACTGCTCTTGCCTTACCGATCCGCGCCTTCACATCTGCATCAGACCCACCATGTTCATCAATGATGCTGCCCAAATATGTAAAGGTTTTTGCATTTTCCAAATCTTCTCCATCAATTATGACTGGATTGGTTTTAGGTAATCTTTAGTTATACATTATTCAATATACTGTAGGATATATGTATATGCGTATTTTCTGAAATGATTGTATTAACAATGCTTTATTTTTAATTCCCTATTGCTTAATAAATAGGGAAATGAATCTTTGAACAATCAACTTAAGTGTTATATCAATACATTGGAAAATTGTATTTATAATTCAACACAACAGAAACAATTCTGTGATCAACAAATACAAACTAATATATGCTTAAAACCAATAGGATCAAATGAAGAGAGTCAAAAATCAAACAATTTGAAAGATATTTCTTCTGAGCCTAAGGTCCCGTCGACTAACTTCCCGATTATTAATATGAATAGCAATTCGAATTTGAAATATTTAACGAGTGTTAATAAATCTACAGAGACTAGTCCTGCATATTTAGATGTAAGTTACATGTTTATTTAATAAGTTATACTGTTAAAAATTGTACATATTTTAACGTTGTATTCGGTCATCTGAGCTCAAAGGTTTAAGTTCAAATCATTTCATGGTCGTTCCGGTCAACATCATCAGCACTTCACAGAGGACAAACAATACAATGATCTATATGATCATCCATATGATCTATAAGTTGTTAGTCCACCTCTAGCCTTGGATTAGAGAAACTCTAAGAATGTTATGAGATTTCTAGTAAATTGGTATTTAGAATAGTTAGTAATCCATAGATACAAAGACATAGATTCAATCTATGAACCTTTACGGAAGAGGCTTATCAATCACAAGGATAGAGATTGACCACCAATGACAATCAACGAGAACACAAGTAAAAATAAAGGTAACAAGACCTAAAAATATAGCCGATTACAAAAAATGTTATCAGAATAAATTAATACAACACTTATAGAATGACTAGAAAGCTCACTTCTATATGTAGTAGGCACTGAATATGTTAGGCAGAACGATAATACAACATCATCCGATCAGATCACTGTCAAGTAATCTTGAATTTGAAAATGTACTAATGTAAGTTTATGAGTAATTAGTAAAACCAAGAGACTGTAAGAAAAAGTGGTGTAATATTTAAAGTAAATGAATCTTTCTTTCATAATGTATTGATTTACAGTCACATATAAATACTAGTAATAATCATTTTTCTCATATAATTAAATCATATTCACCATTTACCGCTAGCAAGATTTTGTTTATATAAACTGAAAGAACCTTCTGTGTACCTCAGACAAATAACATTTTGGCTGGTTATTTTTTTCTTGAAATAGTTACCGCTTCAGGTTTAAAGGTTAGAACTTGTTCTAAACAATGGTTGGCAATCATATCTATTATATGCATTTCTTACCTATGATACATCATTGCTGAGCTAATACTTAAATTAGTTTGTAAAAAAGATTGTAGTCATTTTTATTTTTAGAATATAATATTTATTCAATCCTGATTGTTATATACAACGACGCGAGTCAAACTCAAGTGAAAATATTAATTTATTTTCTAGTTAATCTTGAACAGCTAAAAACTAAAAGTGATAACCTTTCACTTTAGTTTTCTATTCTATAAATCATTAGACATGTATAAGAAGTTGACAAGATTAATATCATGGATTTCTAGTGAGAAGCGGTGACCAATGGAGTTCAACCAGGTCTGTTGTGAGATATCAGCTCACTGATGACAATGGCGTACGGTGGAGCAATTTCGTGAATTAGTTGAAGTTAGACATTAACACCGTTGGATGCCAGCCAGTTCAGTGGTTTAGAAGTTAAGTGTTCACGCACGAGACTGATAGATCCTTGGTTTGAATCTGGCAAGGCGAGATCATAGATGCGTACCACTGAGAAGTTCCACAATGGGACGAAACGCCCGTCTAGTGCTTCCAGGTTTTCCTTGATGATCTAGCTTCAATTGACTCAAAATCTCAACTATTAAAGTTATTATAATAATAATTGTTATTTGTTATTTTCTAGTCAATTATGAATAATAAAAATGTACAATTGTCAAAACATAAAGATTATCAACAGCTTATTGATAATTATGAAAATAAATTATCACATTTACACTTTTGTTTACATCAATTACATCATGATTATGATTCATTAATTCATTTATTTAATAATACTATTTATGGAATAATTAAATTTGGTAATCGAGAATGTAATCGTTTTAGTAAATTATTAAATATATCTCATCAAGAAATTGAAATTCCTTCATCATTATTACATTCAAAATTATTTTATCCATTGAAAACATTGAATCAAAATGGAAGAATTTCAAATTTAACTGAGAATACTTTAATTATCAAGAGGTAATTATTATTCTTGTTACTTTTTCTATTTTGAGTTCAAAGGGTCCATTTTTATTCTGAAAACTATTACAACTAGAAATTGTTGGATGCCAGCTCAGTGATCTAGAGGATAAGCGTTCGAACACGAGATCGATAGGGCCTGGGTTCGAATCCCGTGCGCGGGATTGTGGATGCGCACTACTGAGAAGTTCTTTAATAGAACGAAACGGCCATCCAGTACTTCCAGGTTTTTTAATTGTTGTCTATGATCAATCGATTCATGATCTTAATCAAAAACTTAATAATCTCCACAACCCCATACTGATAAATATTGTTAGAAGATCTCAAAAATTCTTTGGTAAAGTCTCCAGAAACAGGGAAAAGGTTAAAAATGTCTCTCTTAATCAGAATAAACTAGAAACACCCCAAAAGCATCCGGTAAAACTACGGATTATGTAACACAATTTGATCGAATAATTATGTACTTTGTCAGTAAATTTGATATAATTTTAAAAGTATCTAGAAGGTCAAGGTCACTTCTTAAACCAATAAACAAGCTTGTCGTTTTGCACACAAACTAAAGTATATTATTAATTATTCGTGCAGTTTATTCGTTAAACAATAAGACTGTTTTATAGAATAGATGTATTGTGCCAAGTAGTAGAAAACGAAATATGGTTTTTGTTCTGTTTTAAGAGTTCATCATAGGAATGTAACTGTATCCCACTCCTGACTAGTATATTGAAACTAAAACCTAGTAGCTCACTCTCAAAATGTTAGCTCATAATTCACTGAACTACTGAGTCCATATACCTATTTAATTGTTCAGCCTGCATGATATTTCTTATTAAAATTCAATCTTGAATATTGTCAACAAAATAATCCAAACTTTCTAACAAATAAGACTTATTAGTTGAATTCATGAGTCAATTGAAGCTAGATCATCATGGGAAACCTGGAAGCACTGGACGAGCGTTTCTTCCTAGTATGGGACTCCTCGGAAGTGCGCATCCATGATCCCGCTTCGCCAGATACGAACCCAGTACCTATCAGTCTTGCGCTCGACTTTGTTTTAGTTCAAAACTAATATTTTAATTGAATGATTTGTAGAATTTATTTAAATTTGATAATAATTTCGTCATGAACTGCTATCAGCTGAAAAATAATTGAAAATACAATAAGCTACTTGTTTCATAGGCAGCATAGACCATTGAGTTTATACTATATGGTTTTCCTTTTCACTAACAGCTAACTTATGATATATTTTTATGATATCAATGATAGCTACTTTAGTTCTGAAGTGATTAAAGTCTAATCAGTAATAATTTTTTATCAGAACTTTGAGAAATGCAGCTCACAACTACTTACCATTGAACAAGTATGGGTTAAAGATCATAGTTTATTTTGAAACTAGTACTCCTGAAAGTTCAAAATAGGCTAGAAAGAAACACAATCAAGGCACCAGAAATTTAGACAATTGTTCTGTTCTAGTTTGAAATTTCTCAGAAATTTCGAGACCTAAAATCCCTGAATTCAAACAAGTATAGAATTAAGCGTCTGCACTGCTGAGCTATTCTAATTCAAAGCAAAATAACATTCTAACCGTTCTAGGTTCTTACACATTCTTTTACCTAATGCAAGTTCTGAATGGAAAGTGTACATATGTTTTAACTTCATCACGGATTCATCAGTAATGTACATTCAATACCTTAAACTTAATAGAACAATTGACCGTTTGGTTTGGTGGGTAATGTATTACATTTAAGCTCCATTTAGTCTAAATCTAATAATCTTCCCGTCTAATTTTAATCAACTAGTGATTGCTACGGGTGACCACTTCAACTTGAACATCGTTAACTAACATTATAATAAGCGTTCACGAGGATATATTAATTTTATTTTAATCAGCCAGTCAGTCATAAATAAGCTGTAGACAATATGATTCGAAAAGTTTGTATGATTTAGTAGAATTAATAAACATAAGATAATTTTGAAGCTCGGTATTTAATTGAAGATAGAGAAGTAAATGGATCTGTGCCACTGTGAAGAATCCTGATTATTTCCATCTTAAATAGTTCTGTCATTACTTTTAAATGTTTTAAATATCTAAATGCCTAGATTATTCTTACGTAATTAGAACGGGAATAAGGATATATTAGTTTCTTATTAATTTATTTCAAACTTATAAACTTTAGTTATGTCTGTTATTAGTTATGTATAATTCTAAGGTTGTATTAGTTACAAATTGATCTCAACTGGAGTACTATTGAAAAACAAGGAAGAATTAAACAACTGTCTCGTTCTTGAGCAGTACAACACACGACTCGTGTTGAACGCTTAACCATTGGATTTATTGAGTTGGCATCCAATGATACAATTCTAAATATAATCAGTATGTATTCAAGCACGAAGATGATCCAATCTCACTAATGACGACTACTTCACTTTCACTATATCCACAAAACTTTTTCAACTAAGTATTCATTTCACTGACGCAGTCTAGACAATCACTGAAAACCTGGTACCACTAGTTAACTGTTTGGTCCTGGTATACAACTACTTAACAGTACTTATTCACGGTACCGCCAACGATTATAGTTGATTCATAATCTCAATAACATTCAACAACCTCCATAAACTGATAAATACATATTTCAATGGTTAAGATCATGAGTCAGTTGGAGCTAGACCACCATGGAGAACCTGGAAGCACTGGACGGCCGTTTCGTCCTAGTGTGAGACTCCTCAGCAGTGCACATCCACGACCTCGCCGACTCAGTGGTCTAGTGGTTAAGTGCTCACGCGAAAAACCAGTAGGCCCTGGGTTCGAATCCCACAGGGGGCGAGGTCGTGGATTTGCACTTCTGAGGAGTCTCATACTAGGACGAAACGGTCGTCCAGTGCCTTCAAGTTTTCCATGATGGTCTAACTTCAACTGACTCATGATCTTAACCATTGAAATTACTATACAATCCACAACAACCATCTGATATTAAATACATATTTGTTGATTATTACATCATTTAAAATTTATCTTATTTGTATTATTTTAATTCATTTTCAGTTGGATAAATCCATTGATAGATGTAATTGGTAAATTATCAGCATATTGTATAAGAATATGTGATTTAATTGAATCACAACAAGATCATTTAGAATGGCAATCAGAAAATGTTAATGAACTTCGTGATATAACTAGAAAACAAATTGAAATGCAAAATAAGCAATTAATAAGAACACGTAAAGCTAATTTGAATCGTTTAAGAAGTTGTTTAAAACAAGTTAGTTTATACACTTTTAATATTTATGAGACTGTAATTTATGGACGACCTATGAGTGACGCTAAACTGACCTTGACAATGTATATCTACTAACTAGGACTTAATGAGTGTTATAAACTAAGGTGAAGAATTCGAATTATGATTTACAGTCGATGATTAAGATTAGGAATTAGATTTCGGATTTTCATCACGAACTAACATTAGCTATAATGCTAAAACTCTATATAGTCAAATGAATGAGTGAATTTAGCGCCAAAATCTGAGACTTGTCATCCTACATCTAATTGATTATAGTCTCACCATAAATATTTTATTTTATAATAATAAAAAACCATTTAATTAGGAATGTTATTAGATGGTGGTTGGAGGTAGTCAACAGGAAACCCTGGACCCGGGTCTCGTGCTACTTGGCACTCGTCAGCAAGGTGTACCTGTAATCTTGAGGGAACTGGTGCTCCCTGGCGGATTCGATCTCGTGTCGCTCAGCTTCACAGTCAGAGACGTTACCACTGAGCTATCCGAGCCGTGACTAACCTCCTGTAGGACTGAGATGTAATCACAATTGATTGATCACTGGCTGGTGATCAATCTCATGCTTGTCTAGTCCTTATTAGTGCAGATCGAATGCTATCGATCATGTTGCAATGTGGCCACCAGTCTAGGTGACTCGACACTGCGGGCACTATGTAATGAGATTAGATTACATCTCAGTCCTACAGGAGGTTAGTCACGGCTCGGATAGCTCAGTGGTAACGTCTCTGACTGTGAAGCTGAGCGACACGAGATCGAATCCGCCAGGGAGCACCAGTTCCCTCAAGATTACAGGTACACCTTGCTGACGAGTGCCAAGTAGCACGAAACCCGGGTCCAGGGTTTCCTGTTGACTACCTCCAACCACCATCTAATCTCATTACATAGTGCCCGCAGTGTCGAGTCACCTAGACTGGTGGCCACATTGCAACATGATCGATAGCATTCGATCTGCACTAATAAGGACTAGACAAGCATGAGATTGATCACCACCCAGTGATCAGTCAATTGTAATTAGGAATGTTGAAACATTTTATATCTCATAGGTTTTGTGTTATATTCAATGAGATTCGTATGCTTTACGTATACTCTCTGCTTTGTTATAATTTAAATCAGAGAGGTGAATATGTATATACGAGCAAGTACAGAGGCAAATTTATAGTCAAATCGAATCAACGTACAACGAGGCAAGACAAAGGCTATTAATAGGAATCGGGCACATATAAACATGCGAAGTAGGATGAATTATCGAGTGATATTTAAGTAATCAACATTTTAGCTCAAGTCCATCATGTGCTCTAATGATCATAACGGTACAGAGAAATATGCGAATTGTTACTGTCCAAATAACATTATCTGTTAAGTAAGTTTAATAAAAGGGCCTAACCACAATGAACCATAATCGAAATTGATTGTAGGATAGTTACTATCATCTCAATAGATTAAGGACCTGATAAATATTTCATAATACTCATATTTTAATAAATATTCAAAGTAAAATTCAATTGTTCTTTTGTTGTTTTTTTTTAATTTTACCCTCTATTTCTATTAAGAACCAGCATAATCCTTCATTAAATGAAGTAAATAGTATTTTATCAAAGGATCATTCTGATTCATATCCTATGGTATACACTAATGGTAATTCAGATAAAAATATTGGATCAAAACTTGATTACAATATGTCTACATTAAAGTTAGTATAAATTTCAATAATTTCCATTGAAATTTTATAATTTTTTTAATGAGGCCATAATTTATGGACGACCTATGAGTGACACTAAACTGACCTTGACGATGTCCATCTACTAACTAGGACTTAATAAGGGTTATAAACCAATGTGAAGAATTAGAATTAGAATTTATAATTGATGGTTAGGGTTAAGAATTCGATTTCGATTTTTCATCACGAACTGACATGATATATATAATGCTAGAATGATATTTATCCAAATGTATGAATAAATTTTGCGCCAAAATTCAAGACTTGTTATCTTAAATCTGATTGGTTCGTCCATAAATTGTAGTCTCGCCCTTTATCAGTATATATTCCGATTTCTATTCAATTCCGTGTTGGTTACTGTGTTGCATTTTTCTTTCAACTGTTAGTTTTGTTTGTGATGGTTTGGAACGAAATTAAATAAATTTTTATTATATCTATGTGATACTCTATATTGATTTAATAATGTATTTCATATCTTGAATGTGTATATAGTCAGAAATAACAAATAGCAGTTGATTTGCCAAATAGCTAATGACATTCCATTCAGTTATTTTTTTCTATTGAATATTATAAAATAATAAGAACAAATGGAACAGATTAATAGGAATTCATTCAGTTATTTTTAGATTGTTATCAACTATTAACAACTTGGAAACATAACTTGGAAACTAATTGGAGGTGATTAATTAAAAAGAAATTTTCAATGAAGATTCATAAATCTCATTAATTCTAAGATAAGTGGATCTTCTAGAAGTAAAATGATAAAACTAAGTAGAAAGCAAAGATAATAGATCTTCAGAAGGAGATGAATTCACTTCATAGATTATGTAATTCCAATTGTAAAATACATTAACTGGCTAAGTAAAATGTGTAGATCTTAGATCATTCTGTTAAATATGAAGATGAACTTACTATGTGTATGCCAACTATTTTTTGTTCTGATTGTTCTGTAGTGTAGTCCGGTGAAATCCATGTAGCTTTATGTATACGGTTGTGTGAATATATTGTGCCTCCTATGACCAATTTGTTGAATACACATAGATTTGCAAATTTTTCCCCATTTTCGTTCCTCTCTCCCAGTTCATATCGTCCCATGGTATCTTCACATCTGGTGTTGTCTATTCCGACTTTGGCGTTTAGATCTCCCATCAGAATGATGAGGTCCTTTCTTGGGCACTTCTCTATGATTGACTGCAGCCGCTCGTAGAACTGATCTTTAATGTCATCGTTACTATCATTGTTGGGTGCATAACACTGGATAATATTCATTGTAATTCCCTCCTTCTTTGTTTTGAATGATGCTTTGAAGATTCTGGATCCGTGAGATTCCCCTCCTACCAGTCCATTTCGTGCTTCCTTGGACAGCACTAGAGCAACTCCCTGAGTGTGTGGCACAATTTCCTGTTCGTGACCGGAGTAAAGCAGCATCTCCTCCGTATCTAGCCTTTGTTGTTCAACCTGGGTCCAAGTGGTTTCTCTGATTCTCAGTACTGCCAAGTTGTATCTCCTCCTTTCAGTTGCTATTTGAATGACCTTCCCGGTTTCCCACATTGTCCGGACGTTCCGTGTACTCATAAAAATTGTTGCTCTGGTTGTTAGAAGGAGCATCGGCCTCGTCACGTCCTAAGGAGCTCAGCTTTTAGCATGAGGCGTCACATTTCTTCTAAATGAAGACCTAACTCCCAGGGTAGAGTTTAAATAGTTTGAATTATTTTTTCTGGTTAGCGTTTTTTAGCGAGTTAGTTTTTCACGGAATGGGGCCACTAACCCTATGTCCAACCCTCCTCCTTTAACCGCGCTTGGGACCGCCAGTAACTCTGTAAGAGCTACAGGCGGAGTTCTTCGTATATCCATAAAGGCTGAATGATAAAACTTTTGATTCTGTTGGGAAGATAAATACATCTTGATATTTGAAACGACTGCCAGGTATCGTTTCACCAAATAAAAATATTCGACATATTGACATCTTCATTTAGAAAGAACAAGAAGAAATCCACATGATGAAGTGTACAATAATTGTATAGTAATTAAAAGAAAAACGTGTAATCACAGATCTACTTCAAAGCACTTTCTATCAAAGGTGTACCGTTAATAATAATAACCTTATAAAGAAAATTACCATCATATATACACATATATATACTCGTAATTTATTGACTAATAATAATCGATTTGAAATGGTCGTTTAAAATAATGATAGAAATGGTTTCGATGACAGCTGAACAAAAAAACACCACTATCTTATCTGAAAAGAAGATCATCTATCACAAAATAAACAGTATAATTGTTTTATAGATTATGAAACTGAAAACAAATAAGAACTTTAATGAGTCTTAACTATTAAAATATAATAGAAGCTTAAGTCGAAGTATTTCGATGTTAAACTATCTACCTTCTTATTGAGATCATGAACCGATTGATGTTAGACCACCTTTGGAAACCTGGCAGCACTGGACGGCCGTTTCGTCCTACTGTGGGACTTCTCGGCAGTGCGCATCCACTATCCCGCTCGCGGGATTCGAACCCAGGGCCTTCGGTCTCGCGCGCGAATGCTTAACCTACTGGACCGCTGGGCCGGCACCTGATGGTGATAGTGTCGAACATCAACCAATCCACGAAATTGCGCGACCAACTTCCATTGTACTGAGGTAGATACCTGTCTCTACCCGACAGTGGATTAGCTCCACTGGTCACAGCTTCTCACTAGAACTCCGAGAATTCTCTCACAAAGCTAGTCACTAGTGAGCACATGTTAATTACTAGTATATGGTTTGTGGAGATTATTAAGTTTTTGATTGAGACGAAACGGCTGTCCAGTACTGCCAGGTTTCCAAAGGTAGTCTAACATCAATCAGTTCATGATCTCAATCCTTCTGTCTATCTGTCAATCATATTACTTAAGAGTATACATATTATAATTAAATAATAGTATCATCTAAATATTCAACTTTTTGGAAACAAAATATCTTTACTGTAATATCTTCTTCAAATTACTCTTCTTTTTTTTCAAATTTTCTTTTTATCTAAAAAAAACAATCCGGATCGAAGAAATTCAATGTATCCACTTAAATCAGTCGATTCGAATTTATACTTCAATGATAATATGAATAAACTAATAGAAACACAACATCATGGCTATTCTCCAGTATCTGGAGCGAATGGATCATTTAATAAATCACCTCCACCGCGTCTACTTCATAAAAATAGTAATATTTCTCCATATGAAAATATTAAATGTTTCAATAATAGTGAAAACTCATATAATCAAGATGGTCAGTTTTATTCAGTAAGTATAGAACAGAATTATTCTAACATGAATGCTATTGAGATTTTATTTTTAATAAAGTCAGGACATTTGGAGAAATTGTTTTACATAAAGTTATTTTGATATTTATAGGTAGATTAACTTGTAGTGATAAATATTAACTAAGACCGCCTAGAGCACCTCTAGGGCTACTGCTGGTTCTAAGCCCGGGTAAAGGAGGAGGGTTGTGCATAAGGTTAGAGACCCCATCTCGTAGAATACTAACTCGATAAAAAACGCTAGCCAGAAAAAATAATTCAAACTATTTAAACTCTACCCTGGGAGTTGGAAGGTCTTCATTTAGAAGAAATGTGACGCCTCATGATGAAAGCCGAGTTCCTTCGGAAGTCACGAGGCCGATGCTCCTTCTAACAACCAGAGCAACAATTTTTATGAGTACATGGAACGTCCGGACAATTCGGAAGACCGGGAGAGTCTTCCAAATTGCTGCAGAAATGAAGAGATACAACCCGGAGGTGCTTGGAAATAGTGAAACACATTGGACGCAAGTTGGACAACAGCAACTAGCTTTAAGGGAGCTTTTGTTTTCATATACAAGTCAACATAAAATTTAGGAGGATAATGATAATGTTATAGACTGATAATTGTTACCAACTGTAAAATCTTCTGTTTTTAGTTGGACAGTTTTGCACTCCAGAAAATTCCACTAAACAGGGTTGAATTTCTTCCACTAACCAACTCATTAGTTAGCTACGTAGCATTATAACAATGTTATGTCTCGAACTGATGTACTGAAAGTGTACTACTACTACTTACGCTTGTTACTTCTCGTGTATGAGCATGGGCCGCCCACCAGCACTCTCCATCTAACCCTGTCCTGGGCAATCCTTTCCAGCTCTCTCCAGTTGTTATTCATCCTTCACATATCTGCTTCTATTTCCTGACGTTATGTGTTCTTTATCCTTCCTCTTTTCCGCTTCCCTTCAGGATTCCAAGTTAGGGCTTGCCTCGTGATGCAGTTAGATGATTCCTGTAATGTATGTTTTATCCACCTGTAGCTATTCTAGAGTTACTTTCGATCCCAAGCCCGGGGAAAGGAGGAGAGTTGGGTGTGAGGTCGGCAACACCATTCTGCAGAAAAAATCTTGCTAAAAAACGTCAACCAGATTAAACTGAAAGTGTAATTTTTCTTATTTTTGTCGTATACTATATATTTTATTGTAATGGTCTGTCAATAATTACACAGGTTTCAACTTAACCAACCGATTTACTTCTCTTTTCTACAATTTCACTCCTATGCTAAATAATGACAACTAATTAATTATGTCATCAACTATACAATTTAATTATTAACAGTATAGATCAGGGTAAATACTCATCTGTGATTTTTTAAATCAGCTTCTGATAGACAATTTGTAGATATCAAAATTCCATTGGGTTGTTTAGTATCGGCTATAAATCCATTATTATTGGGAATATTTTCGTGATAATCAATTACTCATGAGCTGAAGGTAAAACAAATCTTTACAAAATATTCAAATATAATCGACTAGTATACTTACTATTCATTAAAAAACAATTCACAACAGTAAGTTTACTGTGGTTTCTTCAAAGCAATATTATTATATAAAGATCAGATTCTTCGTTAACGTTTACGTGTTTGATGTCGAACGCTGAAACTAGCAAACCTAAGACTTACTACTTACTAATACCTGTTACTCTATCCAACATTGTCCTGGACAATCCTTTCCGGTTGTTTCCAGTTGCTATTCATTCTTTTTATGTCTGCTTCGAATTCCCGACGCAGTGTGCTCTTTGGTCTTTCGTTTCCTTTCAGGATTCCAGATTAGTTAACATACGTAAGAACGCGACCAATATTAGTCAGTCGCATCGTCTAACAATTAATAGGGATATAATTGGTTCATTATGCATCTGGTATAAAAAAAATCACATTTTTTCTTAAAGGTTATTTTATTGAGGGATTTTCGGACTAACTCGTTTCATAATTTCAAATATTTTATTTTTCAGATTTTCTTGTTTATGATAATTTTCTTCTTAACTGTAAACAAGAATTATAAGCGAAGATGGATGGTGGATATCAGTGAAATTCAGGACGCGCGTTTCGTTTTATTTGAGACTCGTCGGCCAGATGTTCACCATTTATCTTTGCTTATAATGCTTGTGACTTAAGGCAATCCGCACAGAATTCACATATGCCAACAAGAGACTGATCAATTGCAGTTTTAAGCATCAGTGGGAAGATTTAAGCAAACAGTACCAAGTGAATGTAATCAAAAATATCTGAAATTACAAATCAGCTTAAACTATGATCAGTTTGACTACAAATATCAAGCGATCAAGCGTAAAGATTACTGGTTCTTTAAACATGCTAATGTCCACTTGTTCATAACTTTCAACATAATCACGAAACAGAAATCAAAAAATGCAATAGAAGGCAACCTAGCCTTTGTTTTAAACAATACAGTTAATAAATTTGTATTTGCAAAAATCACCATAATTATATGAACATGCATATATCTTTTGTTGAAGTAAATTGATGCATGCAATAAATTGACTTCATTTGAAATGACTTATCAGAGCTTGTATCTACCTGTTGTTTATGTTAAGTACTGTAGCTGATTAGTCTCTTTTGGTATATGTGAATTTTTATTGCAAGTTCTGGATTTCACTGCTAGCCATTATGCAAAGTTAGTAACAGCTTCCAACTGATTTTGAAAAAAAAAATCAGATCTCTAAGCTCAATCACACTGAGTCCATCATTGTTAACCAGCACGTAAAACTAACATAAATAACTTCCTACTATTGTTGTCGATCACTAATGCAAATAGTACAATTTTTAAGCTGATAGTATGTTCAAATGAAATACATAGTCAGCTCATGTGATTTACTTGATATTGGTAATGTTATCAAGAGTGTGTTATAGCTAACTAAGAGTAAGAAAGGAAGCTGAAATTTGCACGATCCAAGGTAGAAGATAAAATTGACAACAGATTAGGAGCTTACTCTATTCTCAAAAACTCTACTACAACCTATTAACTAAATGTATTCATTTATGTATAAATTTTTTTTCGCCAGTTCATTGTTAGTTGAATTCATGAGTCAATTAAAGCTAGATCACCACGGAAAACGTGGAAGCACCGGACGGCCATTTCGTCCTACTTTGGGACTCCTCAGCAGTGGGCATCCACGATTCCGCCTCACCAGATTCGAACTGAGGACCTATCGACCTCGTGCGTGAACGCTTAACCTCTAAACCACTGAGCTAGCCGGCATCCAATGGTGTTAATTTCTAACTTCAACCAGTCCATGAAGTTGCGCCACCATCCACCATTGTCTTCAGTGAGTCACTATCTCACAACAGGCCCGGTTGAACTCTAAAGGTTAAGCGCTCGTGCACGAGCCTGACAGGTCCTGCGTTCGAATCTCGTGAGGCGGGATCGTGGATGCGCACTGTTAAGGAGTCTCACAATAGGACGAAACGACTTTCCTGTGCTTCCAGGTTTTCCATGGTGGTCTAGCTTCAGTTGACTCACGATCTCAACAATTGGAATAAAACGTAATCAAACAATCATATGTCAAGAACATATCATTCACATATATCAATGTTTATAAGCATTTATTTATAATTACATGTATATGATAGAGAAATTATTCTCAAAATAAAGTTGAAAAGTTGACCATCCTCTTTTACATTTACACTATGCACAACCTTCATATCACCATGGTTTCTAGCTTATTCTATACTAATCATTTATTATTATTAATCATATTTTAAAAGTCTATAATTATTGATCGGATAATTAATTTTAATCTTTAGTCTTTAGATATAGATACTTGTTTCACAAAATGGTTAGACGCTGCCTATCGTCGACATACCTGTAAGATAAAATTTCACCTACATAAATATATCTTTTTAATGTACACTATTTCACTTTAAGATTCCTATGCAATGAATAAAGAAAAATTATGCTGTAATTGTTGTCATGCCAATACACATACCTTTTTTTTATTTGAACGGTGCACTAAATAAACATAATTACAGAGAGTGTTCACTTATTCAATTGTTCATTTTTTAAGTGTCAATTTTCATTAGTATGGGATTATTGAAATTATTAAGTTTTTTTTTTATTGAGATCATGAACCGACTGATGTTAGATTATCATTGATGACGTAGAAGTATTGGATGGCCGTTTCCTCCTGTTATGAGACTCTACAACAGTACATATCTACGATCTCGCTTACGAGATTCGAAACCAAGTTTTATTGTATTAGTTATATTCGAAATTTTTCTTACATTTTTTTAAACATGCAAATGGATCATAAGTATTGATATTTCTGATAATTTTATTGGTTTGTTGTGACTTACTGGTTTGAAAATTTTATTATCATTTGTGATTATATTTTCAGCTTGAAATAATTATATGCACATTATTTTAGAAACTGTTTAGATTCAATGTGTTTGAACGACATACATACCATTATGGGAATAGTTAATCTATTGTAACTCTATATTTTGATAATTATAATTATAGTCAAGTACAACTTCAAAGGATTACTTACTTATTTACGCCCGTTACTCCCAATGGAGCATGGGCTGCCGATCAGCATTCAAGGATTGTTTTATTCCAATAGGTCAGATCGTGAGTCAGTTGAAGCTAGACCACTATGGGAAGCCTGAAAGCACTCGACGGCCGTTTCGTCCTTCTGTGGGACTCTTCAGGAGTGCGCAACCACGATCCCGCCTCACGAGATTCAAACCCACGGCCTACCGGTTTCGTGCAAGAGTGTTTAACCTCTAGACCACTGAGCTGGTAGGCATCCAACGGTGTTAGTGTCTAACTATAACAAATCCAAGAAATTGAGCCACCGTACACCATTGATTTCAGTAAGTCACTACCTCACAACAGACCTGGTTGAACTCCACTGGTCACCGCTTCTCATTAAAACTCCAGGAAATACCTCTTGAGGCCAGTCACCAATGAGCATATGTTGGTTAGTATCAGAAGGGGGTTTTGTGGAGATTGTTGTAATTTCAACAGTTGAGATCGTGAGTCAATTGAAGCTAGATCACCATGGAAAACTTGGTCGTTTCGTCCTATTGTGGGACTCCTTAGCAGTGTTTTCTTGCTTTATTGTAAATCACTTATGTTACGAAAAATATCTAGAATAAAAAAATGTCTTCATTTTTTGTGTTCAACTTTATGACAGTATGTGCTTGCATAAAAAGTTTTTTAGTGCAACTTAAACTCTAAAAGTCAAACTAAATTTATTTCTCTTAAAGCCAACAATATCGATTAGAATTCATATTAGAATTATAAAACGTTATTGTTGATTACCTAATGTGTATGAAGTGTTTACCAATCACAAAATTCAATCAGCTTAATACTATGCACCAGATTCCTGTTAATTAATAAAATATAATGTTATCATCTAGTCTGTTAGTCCCTATAGCTTTATTTGTTATGAAGCTCTCCAACTATAGATATGAAGCATACAGATTACAGTTACGTTTTGAACCTGAAAAATCATGTCATGAAACATGGTTCATTTAGTATAATATTTATCCTTATGAAATGTCACCTCCTTGTAAAAACAAACCACAAGTATATTTTCTAATGAATAAACATTTACACTGTCAAATAAGATTATTAGATATAGAACTTGAAATAAACATTGAATGGACCGAAATTGAATGTTTCATTAGACAATAATATATGTTAAAAATGATGCATAATGACTGACTAGGGTTAGACTCTTTTCATTATATTGATGTGACCCGTTGATCTGACTCCATTAAGAGTGTACGAATGTTTGCTATCACCTATTCTCGTATATAATAGTCGACTTAAATCACGTTAGTCCATAACGGAATTAAATAAGTCAATTAACGAGAATGGCATTTGAATACATATACTTTGTATGTAAAGTGAATGCGATAGAACAAAACGAAATGACGCGCATGGAAGATGGCTGGGAAGCCAACTCCATTTTAATTAAGCGTTACTCATTATTTATAGGCAGACAAAATAAGCTACAGACATACAATGAGTCATGGGACATGAAGTGTGCACACATATACGCTCATGTGAAAACAGTCAAGGCTAATAAGCGAATAATTGACAAGGTCAAAATATGGCTCAAGTAAAAATGAATAAAATAGGATGTCCGGAAGTTAGAATAAGGTATATGGGCTTGCCATAATAACTGACACTACAATATTTTATTAGGTGATTGGAGCCAGTTGGCAAGATACCCTACACCTAGGTTATGTGTTAAGTACCACTTGCTCGGAAGGTGTAGTTGAGGTCTTACAGAGCTGTTCTTTCATCAGATTCTTATTTTGGCCAACCAGTTTTACAGTTAGTGAGTTTACCACTGAGCTATTAGCTTAGTGACTAATGAGATCATGAGTTAATGAGAGCAGTGATAACATTGTAATTTGGCAGATAGAACTTCAATAACATTAAGGACTGAACAAACTTGAATTTTGTTACTACTTGGTGACCGAATAATCTAAATACTATATTCATTCAGATCACCTTATCATTTCTCTGTTATACTATTTTATTGTTCGAATCAGCACTAACATTCTTGTCATTTAACTGTTGTTTTAAATGTGAATAATATTAGTACACCTTATGCACAATCTATATTCTTAAGCTTTGAGATTTGTTCAAGAAGGCATAGATCACCCTTAAATATTTTGTTCAACTGTGATACAATATTGATGATTTATAACCAACTATAACAAGATAAAATATCAGACATTAGAAAAAAAGTCAACTTGAAATATCACAGTGATGTTTTATTGGCGAGACTATAATTTATGGATGAACCAATCAGGTATCAGATAATAGGTCTTGAATTTTGGCGCGAAATTCACTCATTCATTTGGTTATTTATAGATTTGGCATTATAGCTTATGTCAATTCGTGATGAAAACCATAAATCTGATTCTTAACCTTAACCATCAACTGTAAAATCATAATTCTAATCCTCTCCCACAATATTTTCTTTCATTTGGTCTTAGTTATTAGATGGGTACTCTCAGCGTCAGTTTGGTGTCGCTCATAGGTTGTTCATAAATAATAATTTCACCGTCTTATCTTTATTTTCATTTGTTTGAATAGCATATTATACAAATCAAAACAGAAGTAGTTTCTCTGTTATTTACAGGAAGTCGTTGTTTGTTACTACAACTTAAGATGTTTTTCCAATCTTTCTTATCTATATTCCTTTAAGATTAAATATAAACTATATCGAACGGTATGAACAACTAAAGTTTATTATTAATATTGATTACTTATGCATAATTATAAATCTGGAACGAGATGAAACATTTGAGCTTCAACACTTTTCCGAAATTTATGGGTTAATAAATAAAACTTTTATTTTAAGTTTCCAGCGAAATTATATTTCAAACAACTAACAGGTAAATTTTTAAGTAAAGTCGGGTAGTCGCTAACAGTGGAATCCAAGACTCACGTTTCATCTTATTTGATACTCGTTAATCAGATTTTCTTACGTCTAATTATTGAAGTTCAGGCTACGATTTGCAACCAATAACTTACTTACTTCCTCCTATTACTCCCAACCGAACATAGGCCGCCGACCAGCATTCTCCAACCCACTCTGTCCTGGGCCTTCATTTCTAGTTCTATCCAATTTTTGTTCATTTTCCTCATGTCTATCTCCATTTCTCGACGTAATGTTTTATTCGGTCTTCCTCTTTTCTTTTGGCCTTGAAAATTCCATATGAGGGCTTGCCTTGTGATGCAATTTGGTGCTTTCCTCAGTGTATGTCCAATCCACTTCCAGCTCTTCTTCCAGATTTCTTCCTCTGTTGGAATCTGGTTTGCTCTCTCCTACAGTAGGTTATTGCTGATAGTGTCTAGCCAACGGATCTCAAGTATTTTGCGTAGACAGTTGTTAATAAACAATTGTATGCTCTGGATTATAGTTTTCGTAGTTCTCCATGTTTCCGCTCCATACAGAAGAACCGTCTTGATATTTATATTAAAAATTCTGACCTTTATGTCGGTTGACAGTTGTTTTGAGTTCTAGATGTTTTTCAGTTGTAAATATACTGCTCTTGCTTTGCCGATCTGCGCCTTCACATCTGCATCAGAACCACCGTGTTCATCAATGATGCTGTCCAGGTATGTAAAGGTTTTTACATCTTCCAAATTTTCACTGTCAAGTGTTTGCAACCAATAAACTTCTGAATATAAATATCCATCAAGTTATGAAATCTTGATAAATATCAAGCACATTCTTTAATTGTTTTGCACATCTTAATCATACTACTTAAAAGTAGTATTCTGTTTTCTGCTAAAAATGTATTATTTATCGATTTTTATTTAAAAAGAAAAATATCTCTTTCACTTTCAGCCCAATCTTCTTTGATGTCAAATAGACTACTAACAATGAAATAATTTATTCAATAATAAACCAAACAAAATGTATGAAGATAAAACAAATAATCTTTTCATCGATTCATGGAAACCTCTCAGAATAATCTTGGAGGCCTTATTTATTTTTTGTACTTACTTTTATATTTTAAGCCAATATATGATTTATTTGCTACTTATTATTAATGTCCAATCATAGATACAATTAGTCATGTGTTAATATGCACATCAGTATGATGAGGGAAGAATTTTACAAAATGATAAAGATACTAAATATCTGTTGTTGTTTTTTCTACGAGATAAACAGTAGGTTATCAGTACTGTCTTCTCTGTTGATTTTCTTATCATGAACATTTCGTTTAGTTTAATAGGGATGTGATTAACATTAAGATTTTCCTTACTTTTCATATTATCATTTCTATTCAATTAGTTCATAGACTGTACTTATTATTATTTTTTGATTACATAGCAATTATTTTTATTTTCAATGAATTTACATAATGAAAGAAAAGTAATGACATTGTAATAATTTATGGCCTATGATGAATGAAACATTTTTTTTAAATTTTATATGTTATTTTCGAAATGTTATTGGATTGGCGCTCAAAAATTGTGTTATGTGTAACAAACTATTGAATTTTTATGAGTAGTATAATTTAATTAATACTAATTTGGCTGTTCTTCCCATTAAAATGGAAAAATCATCGGGAAATAAACTTTTGATGTTGCTAGTAATATATGTGATTGAATTTAGTAAACTAGATAATTAGATCAACTTCATAACTCAAACTTGGCCACTCTTCTTTGAAGAAAATAGTATTTTGTTGTTCGAAGAGCGTATAAGTCGATATTGGGTGGTTAGTAACAATTGATACGATGTCCTAGACTAATGTTTCGTGTTTTTTGGAACTCGAAGAAAGAGTTTCTACATTCTAGATGAAGTTGATACGGTGTGTGAAGTTTGAATCACAGTCACTCAGTACCTTGTACATTACCATTAAGCTATACCATTGATAACTAATCTTACGTATGACTAAGAATTCTATAGTGATTAATTACTGAATGTTGAATGATGTAAGATTTATTCAGTTCTTAATGCTGATCGAATTCCTCTGATTACACTGAATAGTGCTTACTTGACATCGTGTTGACTATGCTCTGTCAGGAATGTACACGTTATTGGTAAACATCGGATTTCGTGTTCATATCATTTGTCAATAACTAGAAAATCAGTATTATTTTATCGAAAGTAAAAAAGTAATCATTTGTACAACAAATCGACTAAAAAAATACATTTCTAGGTACTGTAAGCAGTTATTCAGTTACAAGAATATCAACACCAACTTTTTAGTAGGTGATTTGTTACTTATAAGTCAGATTCTATGAGTAAGTTAGAAATGACCTCTGTCTATAACTGGAATTTTCACTTATTATTTAAGAACCTTTATTAAGCTTACGTATTTGTTAGTACTCATCAGTGACAGTAACAAAATACATTTATGTTCATTTCAAGTTTATTGATACTAACATACAGAAAATCTACTACTTTACAAGATATCTGATCCGTTTTAAACTAATCTACTAATCTACTTCACTTAGATGATGCCATTTAGAAAATCCAGTTACTTGGTTAACAATAATAAAGTGTTCTTCTTATGATATAATATTTATTTTTCTAGCGATAAATCTACAAACTGGTAATCTTAACACATGGCTTGAGTATTTGTTCAATGTCAATGTGATTTACATTTGAATTAAAATAGTAATTTGATGCTTAATTCAGTCCTGTTTACCATATAAGATCAAGCTTATTCAACTTATAAATTTTTGATAATCAACTAATCAACTTGAAACAATGTAGTTCATAGATCTGTTGTAGCATTAAGACCAATATTACCTAATTATACTTTGAATAGTGGTAAGTTTATGAATTCGGAATGCAGCTTTCGCTATACTATTTGAGAATAATCTTGAAAACCCATTTGATATCATTAAAATTCGGTCAGTTTGAAAAAAAGGAATACTCAGTTGTTTACGATCAATTACTAAACCCAAATGAAAATCAAGCCGCTGATAAAGTACAAATTCGATTTTATGGTATCAATGCAGTGGAAGTTACTCACAAGGATGTTTGTAAATAGTGTGTAGTGGAAGGTGATTTTTAAGTTGCACAGTGAAGAGCTTCAGTACATTGAAAGCGCGGGGTTGGTAGAACACTTGTAGACCAGTTGAAAGGACATCTCAGATTACAGAACACACTGGAAGATGTAAATGGATGACTGGAAGCTACATAGAATTTAGTTAGTCAGTCAGATGCAACGTAGGACTAGGTACATATATGCATCGGCTCAAGTTGCCACACCTCATTAGCACATCAAGATCAACACCAAATTCATAGAAGTAATAAATTCAATGGTGGTAATATATAAAAGAAATATGACATATAAGGATATAGTACAGGAAGAAATAATTAGTTCGTAGAATGAAAGATATGAAGCGATTGTAATCTCATAGTTTAAGGGGAGACAGAGAGTGTATACACCTACACCAGTGTGGTCGATTCTGAGCCATGTCATCAAGAGTCTCCAACCATTGGTTACGATAGTCACGTGGACCCCAACCAAGTAGTCTGCATCTACCAACATGGCTCAGACCAGAAGTTAGTGACATCAAACACGTTGAATTATTTTATAAAAACTTTGTAACTTCTCACATTCAGTATACTTACTTCCTGCCCATTGTCGTGTTTTACACCAATAGAAATTTGTAGCTCAATAACTCTGTTCAAAGTGTATTCCATATCTTCATATTGTCTTAGTCAACTAAATTATATACTTAATTAGAAGTGACTTATAGTGTGAATTATCTTTAGTTAAACAACCATTTAAAACCATAGAAGACAGGAGAGCTGTTTTCTAATTCTCGAGCAATCATATTTGATACAAAACAGCTGAATCAATTTTATGAAATACAATGGAAGATCTAAGATACTATTTTGCTTAAGGAATTCAGGTTTAAATCAGTACATTGTATATTCTATTTTCCTTGGTTTGTTCTACTGTTTAGTATAAACAGATTATCTATTAAAGATCAGTTTAGCCAGTTTAGACAATATTTTCATTCTGTTATCTGTAAGATGTTCATATTTATCTTTAAGAACATTATACTCTATAGAATTATTGGGAGTTTAAATCCAGTCAAACTGAAGTATTTTCAGTTAGGCAATCACGGATGATATTTTATTTAAATGATAATGAATCTTAAATAATTTCATATTCAGGGTAGTAGTGGTAGTAATAGTAATAGTAGTAGTAGTAGTAGTAGTAGTAGTAGTAGTAGTAGTAGTAGTAGTAGTAATAGTAATAGTAGTAGTAGTAGTAGTAGTACTAGTACTAGTACTAGTAGTAGTAGTACTAGTACTAGTACTAGTAGTAGTAGTGTAGTGAACGAGAGCACAAGTGATGACAATCGAATATATTTGAATACAAAATTACAGAATGTTTTAGTAATATCTGAGAACCATATACTAAATGCTTCATTTATAAAATATCAATCAATCGTCTCAGACTTTAATGTTCCTTTATTTCCACATCAATCATTCTTTGTTCTTGTTCTCTTTTTTTCTTTCATCTACTTAACCTTCTACCACTAGGCATTTCACATTCGACTGGTGGTATATACTACTTATATCTATTAATATGAGTAGCATACACCACAGTAATAGTAATTTTGTTTTACTTCATAATAATTACATGTTTGTTTTTATTTAAGCATTTATGCTTGATAAATTTCATGAAAATTATTATCACAAACATTAGTAGATCAATTAATCTGTTATAATTCATTTCTTCTGTAGTTCAAATGATGGTACAATTACAAGCCTGTAATGAATTACGTAATAATTACAGTATTGTAGTCAACAACCAAAAAACTAATAATTTAAAAATGAATTATTTTTTTCGCATTATCAAGTCATGAGGCAAATAGAATCATATGAGTAAAACATTTTATTTGTCCTGTTTCAAATTTAATGAAGTTTGTGAGTTGTTGTTGTTTTCTTTTTAAAGAAAAAGAAACAGGCTGATAAATCTATTTTATTCATAATATAAAAATTTGTGGTAATTGTTGAACCATACAACACTGGAGAGGTTATTTGGCTCATTATGTAAATTGGACATAAAAGCCCTTACAGAGATTTAGATCTATGATCTTCTGGCCTAGTGACAAGAACTTAATCGTTTGGCCATCAAATTATCCAGTAGTTTATATTTGCACTAACTTCTTATAGTAATAATATCACCAGTTATCACCAGTGACTAATTTTGAGGAGTTATTCCTTCAGTTCTAGGAAGAAATGATAATTAGGTAGATCCAGACATACCAGGAATGGGGTATCTATGAATGATACTGTACGATAGTTGAGCACTATCACAAGTTAATTTGAATAAGAAATGAAAACTATTGTATATCGCCTTAGTGATCTATGTGTTAAGCGCTGTCCATCTTACATCATTGATGAGCACTGGTGTGAGGTTCTAAACTAAGATGAAAAATCTATCCAGTGCTCTCTAGTTCTTAATGTTTATCTAGCTAAGTATAGTTCGTGATGTAAACTATTTTATTTATGTTAGATAATAACTTCTGTAATGAATATACTGTTTCTCTTTCCATATGTAGCATATTTTCTCATATCGAATGTTTATTTAAATTCCAATCATTAGTTCCCTTCACTTTAATACTGTTATTTAGATCATTTTGAACTAAACTCGACCAAAACAAACAAATGGATCATTAGTAAACAAAGAGCAGTGCCTAATTTAATGTTATTTATTTACTTTGATAACTTATAATCATTCATATCAGTTAATAGTACGTATTTAGTGAATAATTTTCTCAGAAAGAGGGTTTTATAGATATTATAGTGATTTATTAGTTGAATTCATGAGTCAATTAAAGTTAGACCACCATAGTAAAATCTAAAAGCACTGGATGGTT